CTTGAGGTTCGTCCAATTTCCTGCAACAACTGCGCTGAGGACTCTTTTCCCAGAGCTCCAGGCATCATTCGCCGCCTCTGGCGACCGCCTGCACCAGCTGAAGCCCCCCGGTGCCTGCCCAAGCCTATACTCAGACCCCATAAAACCTAAACCCGAAACGAAGGTTACTAGCCCTAAACCCTAAACCCTAAACCCCAAACCCTAAACCCTAAACCCCAAACCCTAAACCCTACACCCTAAACCCGGTTGAGGGCTTCGTAGGGCTCAAAGGGCCAGGTGGCAGAAGGACAGCGGCAGTTGAGGCCTTGGCCAGTCCTCAGGCACTCAAGAGACGAAAGAGCCCGGAACCCTTCAATTCAGGGTTTAGGGTTTAGGGTTTAGGGTTTAGGGTTTAGAGTTTGGGGTTTGGGGGTTTAGGGTTCAGGGGCTTAGAATTTGAGACGGAAGAGCCAGGAACCCTTTTTCCTCTAAGTCCTTGGAAATAGCGTAGTCCCAATCCGGCTTAAGGTTTAGGGTTTAGGGTGTAGGGCTTAGGGTGTACAGGGTTTAGGCTTTGGGGCTTCTAAGGGTAGTCACATGGTCCCTTAGTATCTACCCTATACAAATGAAGAGCCCATACATCAGAACCTTCTATGAGGGAGGCAAGGGACCGTCTCAAGGACCCTAAACCCTAAACCCTAAACCCTAAACCCTAAACCCCAAGAGCAGCCTACCCTAAACTCCTGAGACCCCTAAACCCAGGGCATAGGACAGAGCTCAGAAAGACTGGCTGGGCTCTTAGCAGGGAATGAAGGAACCTAAACCCTAAACCCTAAACCCTAAACCCTAAACCCTAAACCCTAAACCCAATGCCCTAAACCCTAAAAGGAGGTACCCTGTATACTCCCTCAAAGGGTACATACAGGGCCCGAATTCCCTCATTCCCTGCTAAGAACCAGGAGGTGCCCCGAGACCCTAAACCCTAAACCCTAAACCCTAAACCCTAAACCCTAGACCCTAAACCCTAAACCCTAAACCCTAAACCCCAAGGGCAGATGAGGCGCTCAAGTTCAGGAATGAGCACATGGCCAAGTATTTGACCCAGCGGCCGGTTTCCCATGAGTGGCCTCGAATCGGGCAGTTTTTTTGCTGGGGCTTTTGTAGGGTTTAGGGTTTAGGGTTTAGGGTTTAGGGTTTAGGGTTTAGGGTTTAGGGTTTAGGGTTTAGGGTTTAGGGTTTAGGGTTTAGGGTTTAGGGCTAGACCGATATTCGGCCACAAGCTTCTGCAGGGAGGCTCTGGCGCCGGGCCCTAGCCCCAACAGGGCGTGCAGGCGTCAGGGGTCCTAAACCCTAAGCCCTAAGCCCTAAGCCCCAAGCCCTAAGCCCTAAGCCCTAACTCCTAAACCCTAAACCCTAAACCCCTGTTTCCTAGCCAGTGGCATCTTAGTACTGAGACGTCTCAGAATGGACTCAGAGAGCTCCATGTCTTGTGTTTCGGGGTTTAGGGTTTAGGATTTGGGGTTTGAGGTTCAGGGATTGGGGTTTAGGGTTTGGGGTTTGGGGTTTAGGGTTTGGGGTTTGGGGTTTAGGGTTTGGGGTTTGGGGTTTAGGGTTTTGGGGCTGCGGGTCTGTTCTTTAGGCTTTGGAGTTCAGCTTTTTGAGTTCAGGGTTTCGTGTTTAGGGAGGCTTCCGGAGCCCCCCTCGGGCTTTGCAGGAAGGTGCTGCACCGCCACCAAAAACAAAAACGGCAAGAACCCTAAACCCTAAACCCTAAGCCCTAAGCCCTAAATCCTAAACCCTAAACCCTAAGCGCGCAAGAGTGGCTGATGAAAATGTCAACACGGTCGACCTCCTCCATCCGTTGGAAAATAGTGTAGTCCTCATCCGGCTTAGGGGTTTAGGAGCTTCTAAACCCTAAATCTAAGGGTAGTTACATGGCCCCTTAGTCTGGGCCCTTGAAAGGGGAGCCCTTGTATACCCCGTATGCCCTCTACAACCCAAGGGCCCATTCTTCTACTTAACGGTACCCTTAGACTAAACCCTAAACCCTAAACCCTAAACCCTAAACCCTAAACCCTAAACCCTAAACCCTAAACCCTAAACCCTAAACCCTAAACCCTAAACCCTAAACCCTAACCCCTAAACCCTAAACCCTAAACCCTAAACCCTAAACCCTAAACCCTAAACCCTAAACCCAAACCCTAAACCCTAAACCCTAAACCCTAAACCCCGAGCTCTATGGGGCTTACTTGGGTTGAGGGTTGCAACTGTGCCCCAGAAGGCCTGCGGTTTGAGTGCCCTTAAACAGAGTTTCCCTAAACCCTAAACCCTAAACCCTATACCCTAAAGCACTAAACCCACTAAACCCAAATGAAGAACATCCTAAAACTGACGTCTAGGGCTTATATTCGAGGGTTTAGGGTCAGCCGAAACCAAGCACATCCTAGACCCCTGAGTTACACCCAACTTCTCAGAGACCAAACCCCCAAACCCCCAAACCCCCCAAACCCCCAAACCCCCAAACCCCCAAACCCCCAAACCCCCAAACCCCCAAACCCCAAAACCCCCAAAACCCCAAAACCCCAAAACCCCAAAACCCCAAAACCCTAAAACCCTAAAACCCTAAAACCCTAAACCGTCGTGCTGTCCTCCAAGGGCTCTGTGACCGAGGAGAAGACCCGACCGAAGCCGGACAAGACATCCAGACCACCAGCACCACGGAAGAGGCCCCGCCGGCAAAGCTCGCCAGCAGGACCCGAATCCACGAGAGGCTCCATGGTAAGCACTTAGGGTTTAGGGTTTCGGGTTTAGCCCAACTTACACCCTAAGAGCCCTCGAGCCCATGATGCCTCCAGAGCAGGTCGAGGCAAAGTGCTGAATGTGAAGCCGTTCCCACGTGAGTAGTGTAGTAGCCCTAAACCCTAAACCCTAAACCCTAAACCCTAAACCCTAAACCCTAAACCCTAAACCCTAAACCCTAAACCCTAAACCCTAAACCTCAAACCCGTTTCAGGCTTAGGGTTGGGCATGTTGGGTTTAGGGTTTGGGGCTTAACGTTCGGGATTTGGGGCCTAGAGGGGCATAAGGCTACTACTTCGTAGACCCTAAACCAGAATCTCCAAGCCCTTTTCCCCCCTTAACCCTGAACCTTAAACGCTAAAGCCCAAACCCTATACCCTCTCAACTCCAAACATGAATACTCCTGGACTCGCAAGCCCAGAGTCTGAAGCGAACGAACATCACCCAGAACTCCCTAAACCGTATGTCAAACATAGCCCCAGCATATGCAGCACGCACTCTACAGATTTGAAATGCAACGCCATCTTGAGATCCCCAAATTAAGGGCCCATACGACCCTAGGCCCATAAATCCTGAACCCTGAACCCTAAACCCTCTACCCCCTTACCGTTCTACTTTGGAGATTGAAAGCCGGTTTCGGCTGTGCATGGCTGCGTTCTGTCCGTCAACGGGAGGAGAATCCCAGCATGGGAGCTTGACCCCCTAAACCCTAAACCCTAAACCCTAAACCCTAAACCCTAAACCCTAAACCCTAAACCCTAAACCCTAAACCCTAAACCCTAAACCGCTAGACCCGAGAGGAATTAAAAGGGTTCATGGTTTGGGGCTTCAGGATTTCTAGGCCCTCCCGTATGGGTTTAGGGTTTAGGGCGAATAAAGAGGGTACCTTGTTGGTATAAAAGGGGCTTAGGGACCCCAAAACCCTTTTCAGTGTGTTTTTTTGATGCCTAATTACAAAATAGTACTACAAATGGACCCTCTGGGAAACTTTAGTACGGCTGGGGGCTCTCTCTTGATCTGTAGTAGAATTTATGCAACCAGTGAGTGACCCAACGAGTGAGTGGGGGCAGTACCCAACCTCACCCGGCATGGTTTCTACTCATCCTCAAAAACTCCTCCCTCAACGCGCGCATATGTGCGCGCCTGGTCGCATCAGGATCCAGCAAACGTACAACGGCGACATCACCGGCGTTTGGACACAAAGAACCTGGATGCCGAAACCACGATGCCGGAAGTCCCACGGGCTGTGGCCCTAAAGCCAGCAAGGACATTGCAGCGTTGACGATGTCACCTTTATAGAGAATTGGATCGCCCCTTTGGGTACCGAAAGGTCGCAAGACCAGTGCTTCTAATTGAGGGCCGTCGTCTTTCAGCTCTATCGACCACGTGCCGTGGATCTCGCGGTCGACCTCATCACCAGTCTCCGCGCCGATCAGCTCAATGCTGAAGGTGTAAGCGTCCGACAGCGTCCAGCGAGCGCGGAGATCGATCACAAGGAAGCTTAGGCGGACTCGGAAGAGCATGGCATACACCTCCTTTGCGGTACCTGCGATGGCGGTGATCTCTTCCTCAGGCTGCAGGTCGAGGGCTGTCACGAGTTGGTCGGGATGCAGCTGCTCTGAGCCCCTGAGAAAACGAATCGGGGTCGGATGAAACACCACCATCGGCTTCAATCCGAGCCGGCTGAGGATCGCTGGGGCGAGAGAGCGCAGTGTGTCTGATGGAGCGAAAGGAATCTCTGCCTGCTTGCCGCTCAGCAAGCCCACTCTAACATCACCACCACTGGATGACATGGCGGCGCGGTCTCTCTACGTTAATAAGAGATTGTAAGAGGATGGATAACCCTAAGCCCTAAGCCCTAAGCCCTAAGCGCTAACCCTAAGCCCTAAACCCTAAACCCTGCAACAACCTGCTGACATCATTCGAGTTGCTTGAAAGTCCTGAGCCCAATAGACTGCAATGACTTGACTACCTCTGCGCATGCTCGATACAAAAACGAAATGGAATCGGACCTAAGAGTTTCGGGTTTAGGGTTCCTAAATTCAGACCCCTACACCCTAAACCCGAACTCACGCCGTTGCGCGGCCCCGCCTCGAACCTCCAAGCCCCGCATCGTAACAAACCCCAAACCCCCAAGCCCCCAAATCCCCAAACCCTATAAACCCTACACCCTAAACCCTAAACCCTAAACCCTGCACCCTAACAACTCTTGGGTGCCGCACCCAGTAGAACCATGGTCCCTGCTCCTTTCGAGAGGTGGAAGATCCACACAAACCCTGGATCAAGACGCATTCCCATGAGGCCACCAGTTTCGTGCATATCCCGAAACCACCAGTTTAGTTTTATCCCCAAACCCTAAACCCTAAACCATAAACCCCAAACCCCAAACCCTAAACCCTAAACCAGCTTTGGAGTCTAAAGTCTTTCCGTCATACCTCAGGTGGGCTATGCGAAGCCCATGTACCTGGATTAACCCCGTACGTCAAGCTGAAAGCTAAGTATACAAAGCGCAGCCGTTCCTTGAGAGTAGGACTTTACAGAAAGAAGGGTGAAGGGACTGGGGCTTAGGGTCCTTAAGTTGTTGTCTCTGAGACCCTAACCTCTTAACTTAAATGTCACACCGACCTTAGTATCTCGGTTGACCTGACTCTTCTAAGCCTCTCTTGGCCTGAGATTTTTGCCGGCTTCGCGTTTGAGATTGAGGGTTGAATCTTCGGATAGTTACATGGTCCCTTAGTAAGGGCCCTGGAGAGGGGACCCCTTACATACCCTACACAACCCAAAGGCCCATAGAACTATCCATAGATTGAAGGCTTAAGAGGCGCGAGCCGGCTTAGGGTTTTGAGGGTTGGTGGATTGGTCAATTGGGTTTTTAAGAGGCCGACGCCTCATCAACCACCAACAGCTCCCAGCGATTTGGGATTAGGGCTTGTGAGCTCAAAACTTCGCAGGGTTCAGAAGCCTTCTGTTCCGGCTTCGTAGATACCGATTGGGTATCCTAAGCCCTGAATACCCTAAACCCCAAAACCATACCCTATATACCCCTTAAAGGGCTCCATGTTGTCTCCAACAGACCTAGGGCCACAAGGCTTAGGAATTCAGGCTTTAGGGACTTAGGGTTGAGGGGCCTAAACCCTAAACCCGAAACCCCAAACCCAAAACCCTAGCCCTAAACCCTAAACCCCTCATGAACCTTGACTTCCAAAAACTCGCACCCTGAACCCTAAACCCTAAACCCTAAACCGGGATCCCGGGTCTCTGCGAAATCTCCTCCGCGTTGGGCCTCGCAGCATCCACGGCCTGCGAGGAAGAACGGACCCGGCGCCCCAAGCTGCAGTTTAGGGTTTAGGGTCTAGGGTCTAGGGTCGAGGCTAGTAAGGGGGGGTGGGTTTGGGGATGCAGGTGCTTCAGCAAGTTCCCAGTGGCCTAGGGAGGTACCTAAACCCTAAACCCTAAACCCTATAACCCTAGAAACCCTAAACCCTTCGGTTGATATGGGATTCCCAACTCCGCAACAAGGTGAGGGCAGTACTCGTGAACCACTGTGACACTGTAGACGTTAATGCCATGTAGCACCCTGAGCCCCACACCCCCAAAACCTAACCCTAAACCCTAAACCCTAAACCCTAAACCCTAAACCCTAAACCATGCCACGCAATATGGCACCCTTAGCCCTAATCCCTAAACTTTAAACCCTAAACCCGTCATGATGTCATAAGATTTCCGTCCTGGAGCTTGGGGCTTTGTGTTTAGGGCTTTACTGGCATCCTCAGCCCACCTCAACCCAGTACACTAGAAACTCCCAAACTAAGACATCCTATGTTTAGGAGCTAAAGGGTTGAGGGTTTAGGGTTTACGGTTTAGGGTTTACCCAAAATCCAACACCCTAAACCTACCCTGCTCCTGAGGGGAACGGATGTGGGTTGTGTGCTTATTCTCAGGGCTTTACATCGGGAGGAATTGTGGCTTGAACTCAGGATAGCACGGGTATTGCGGCTTCGGCCCCTAATTGAAGCCTAAAACCCTAAAAACCTGAACCCTAAACCCTTACGCTTCTAGTTCAGGGCTTGGGCCCTAAACCCTAAACCCTAAACCCCTAACCCCTAACCCCTAAACCCTAAACCCTAAACCCTAAACCCAGGTTTGTGGAGGAGTGAGCGGAGGTTTGAGTCCCCGGCATCGTAGGGGCCCCGTGCAAGCCACCAAAGTGCGTTCATGCTGCCCTGGAACGCCGGCAGCTTGGAGGGTTCAAGGTTTTAGGGTTTAGGGTTTAGGGTTTAGGGATTAGGGTTTAGGGTTTAGGGTTTAGGGTTTAGGGTTTAGGGTTTAGGCCTTTAGGGCTTTAGGGTTTAAGATTGAGAGTTTGGGGGCTTCTGGGCTTTGGGTGCTTGGGGGCTTTTGGTGCTTGGGGGGCTTTGGGGGGCTTTGGGGGCTTGGAGTCTTGGGCATCCCAAATCTCGACATGGCCAATGCCCCCAAACCCCTTAACCCAAAGCAACCTGGGAACCCTAAAGACCCTTAAAACTTCGGGGGCCCAAGCCCTTGCCTACAAAGCCCGTCATGAACCCACAATCCTCAACCCACAGTCGACCCCCAAAATCCTAAAAAAAAACCCAGGCCTACCATGAACCGGCAGCCTCAAACCAAAAAAATGAACATGGGCCACATGAATGCTCTGAGGAAACATGCAGTGACTTTGGGATTATAGGGCTTGGTGAGTTAGTGGTCCTACAGTTTGGGGTTGGGGTTTGAGTGGGCATTGCCGAACCCGCTGTACAAGGGTCCCTCGCCGTGCTACGGAATCCATATGCCCTCCTGAGCCCCTGACCCCCTCGCTCTGGTTTAGGGCGTATTCTTCGGGGGTTTCCGAAAACAGGGGATACCCTGTTTGGGGTTCCCTTTCAAGGGGAGCCCTAAACCCTAAACCCTAAACCCTAAACCCTAAACCCTAAACCCGGTATACCCCGATTCTCGGAAATACCCATTTAGATGCCCTTGTGCACCTTGTGAGCTGCCCTCCAACACACAGTGCCACCTCCATTCCAAAGCAACTAGGATGGACCTTCGAACCCTCTGAATTAGGGTTTAGGGTTTAGGGTTTAGGATTTGGGGTTTAGGGTTTAGGGTTTAGGGTTTGGGGTTTAGGGTTTGGGGTTTAGGGTTTGGGGTTTAGGGTTTAGGGTATGATCCTCTTAAACCCCCAAAACGAAAACAGGAAATTTGCCTAGGGCCTACCTAGGAAAAAAACAAAAAAAAAACTTGTAGCTGTCTTGCTGAGAACGTGCAGCCTTGGGCAGCTTCAATGCTGAACAGGACTGTAGGGGGATAGTTTTGGTGCCTAATCTACCTCAAGCTCTCAACTCTATAAATCCTTAAATCCGAAAACCCTATAGGTGGTAACCCTAAAAAACCCGAAGCCTAAACCCTAAACCCTAAACCCTAAACCCTAAACCCTAAACCCTAAACCCTAAACCCTAAACCCTGAACCCTGAACCCTGAACCCTGAACCCTGAACCCTGAACCCTGAACCCTGAACCCTGAACCCTACACCTAAGCCGTAAACCCCGAACCCAAATCCCGAACGCCGGCGCCTTCAGAATGGCGGCCATGTAGGAGAGCGTCACGGAGAGGAGCGCGGAGTTGCGAGCCTGCCAGTCTACCAAAGGGTTTAGGGTTTAGGGTTTAGGGCTTAGGGTTTAGGGTTAGGGGTTTAGGGCTAGGGTTTAGGGGATAAATATGGGGGGGGTTAATAATTAGAATAGGGTTTTGGGGGCTTGTATGGTCTAATTATAAAGTACTTAGGGGCTGAATACCCTAGCCCAAAGAAGGTTAACCCATTTTGTGGCAATGGGGTTATAACGAAAAAAGTTACAGCTTAACTGTCCAGCCCTGTACTCTAAGGGTAGATAACTCCAAGCCTAAACCAAAACCGTAGGAGGGTTTAGGGTTTAGGGTGTATAGGGTTTAGGGTTTTCATGGGCCCTGAATGTATGGGCCCTTGGGTTGTATAGGGTATTCTAGGGTATACACGGGGCCCCTTTTTAAGGGCCCATCCTAAGGGACCATGCATCTACACTAAGAGCCAAGGGCAGGGGGTTCAGGAGTTTAGGGTTTAGGGGAGTTCCGGATTCAGGGACTAGGGTTTCGGGCTTGGGGTTTGTTTAGGGTCTAGGGTTTAGGGTTTCGGGTTTCGGGTTTCGGGCTTGGGGTTTAGGAATCAGGGTTCAGGGTTCAGCTCATGTGTGTGCCTGAGGGGCCCCAAGTTAAGTCAGTAGCAAGGAAGATCCAGATGACAAGCATCAGTCAAGTTTCAGTAAGGGAGGTGCGTTTCATTGTCGGCACAGCAGGTTCTCCGGCAGAAGGCTTCATTCGGCCATTGGTCTCGAAATGATCACTCAAAAAAGGCAGACTGGTTCTCTTTGAGCCTTGCATGCATGTGTGGACAGGGCACACTGTGCTGGGCTCAGCGATCGGGCACGCATCTACCCGGGCCTGGGCCCTGTTTCTGCTCGGGCGTTTCGCGGCTGTGGTCGCGAGGTCCACGCCAAATAAAATCCTCTGACACATCTGGAAATTTGACATGTTATGACTCGGCTCCAAGCTGCAAACCAACCAAGATTTAAGATAGAAGCAACTCGAAAGAACGCTTGCTTGTTCTTGCAATCACTCATTCTAGGGTTTGGGGTTTAGGGTTTAGGGCAGTTCCGGGTTTAGGCACTCAGGACTCAGACCCCCTAAGCCCTTCAACTTGAGTCTCCCGACAGCACGAAACCGGGAGCATGGTTTAGGGTTTAGGGTTTAGGGCTTAGGGCTCTAACCCGGGAGCAGCCCACGCCGCCCCGTCCCCCCAGCGTGCCTTTCGCTTGTACCTGGCTCAAAGAAGCTCGGGTTGGGCTTAGGGCTTGCTGAGCCCCGAAGCCGGGTTTATACACATATATATGTATAATATAATATTATATATATATATATATATATTATATTATATATATATATTATATTATAATATATATAGATATATATATATATATATGTATATATATATATATATCTGGGTTTAGGGTTGAGGGTTTGCGTGTATATCTAGCTACATATATATATATATATAACGTGAGGTCCTATATAGACTCTCTAACCCCCTCACTCTCCCCAACTCCCCGCAAGAACCTTCACCCTGCAATGAAGGGCGCCCTTGTTGTACGAACTCTGTGTAACCCGTAGTCAATTCTGTTTAACCAGTAGCCAGCCATCTTACCTAGAGGGTCCATTTGCATTACAAATATGGAATTAGGTACCAAAAAACCATACTTAGCAAAGTTTTGAGGTGCCTTAGTCCATCATAGTAATACAAATGGACCCTCTGGGTTAGGGTTCGGGTAACAATTTTGTAGAGCAGGGGAGTGGGGGGGGGGGGGGGGGGGCACAACATTTAGGGAATCTGCACCCCTGAGCCGCCTAGACAAAAAAAAAAGAACCGAAACCCAACCTAAAATCCCAGACCCCTAAACCCTAAACCCTAAACCCTAAACCCTAAACCCTGATGCCCAGCGGGCACTGGTTTCCCAGAGTCCCCAGGAGCTGTTGCATGGATCCAAACTGGTTTGTGAGGGTGGTCCTGGGCAGGTGCCCGATCTTCGGGTTTAGGGTTTAGGGTTTAGGGTTTAGGGTTCAGGGTTTAGGACTTAGGGTTTAGGGTTTAGAGTTTAGAAGTTTAGGGGTTCCGGGGCGTTGGGGTTTGGGGCGCAAGGTATTCAGCTTCTGGCCTTGTCGGTCCTCAGACTTACTTCCGGGCTCTTCGTAGGGGTTTCGGTAACCTCTAGAGGGATGAATATATATATATATATATATAGATGGTCACTTTTTCGAAATTATGGTCCTTTTTGGGGTTACTATTGTAAGGCGGCCCCTATTACTTCGGGTACCCAAAACAGGGCCCTAGTTTAGAGAACTGACCATATGTATATATATATATATATATCTGTGTGTGTGTTTATATGGGGGGATGTAAGGCGCCGAATTCCCCAATTCCCAATGTTGAACTACAATGTTTATGTTTAACAGTTTTTGGGTCTTGGGCCTAAAACGGTTTGATGGACACTTCATGTGAACATGTCGGGGGGGGGGGGGTTGCTGCAAGAGCGTTGTTGATGTGCGAACCTTTTTCAACTGCAAGGCAGGCCATTTCTTGATTCAAAACTATTAAGCTGCTTGTACATGATGTGCGTTGGGCCAGAGCAAAATCAAAAACACATCGTAAACATTTGTCTGTGTGTTCTACTTGCATAAAGCTTCTATCGTGTGAATTTGCTGGTTTTGTCGCCCACATGGAGACAGTCGTGCTAAGATGTCTTTGAAGTCTTGGAAGATGTCTACAAACGTCAGACTTCACATGCGAAAGCCAAGTTCTGAAACAGCTAGGGTTTGGGGTTTAGGGCTTAGGGTTCAGGGCTTGGGGTAGGCTGTGTTAGAAGGTTTCGGGGTTAGGGTTTTTTACTACTTTAAGAACCGCCGGGGGGGTGAAAGTTATAATGCGATGAAACCTGAAATACCAGTACAAGGAACAAAACCCAAGTCGTGCATGGACCCTAAAACCTAAACCCTAAACCCTAAACCCTAAACCCTCCCTGAAGAACCCTACAAGCCCTAGCTGGGCCCAACACTGATCGACCTTTAGGTCCATATTCGGCATGTCCACCGGCCTCGGCGTAGTGTTTGGGGTTTGGGGTTTAGGGTTTAGGGCTAGGGTTTAGGGTTTAGGGTTTAGGGTTTGGGGTTTAGGGTTTAGGGTTTAGGGGTTAGGGCAAGTCCGGAGTCTTTTCGGCAAGCTGGTGGTTCAGGATTTGAAAGGGCATCTGAGGGTGTATCAGGGTATAAGAAATCAACAGGCTATAAGGCCCTAAACCCAGAAGAGCCTAAAACCCCCAAGACCCAAGATTCCCTAAAACCCTAAACGTAGCAAAACCCACCCAAAAAAAACCCTGATATTCTAGGAGGCCTAAGGCCAACTCTGATGAAGGACTGTGGGACCCAAAAATATGTGAAGGGAAAGCAGCAGACCGCGGTGGTGCCACCAAGATTTGCCTTTAGGGTTTAGGGTTTAGGGTTTAGGGTTTAGGGTTTAGGGTTTAGGGTTTAGGGTTTGGGAATTCGGGTTTCGGGTTTAAGGTAAAGGGTTAAGGGTTTAGGGCTCGAAGCGCGTTGGCCTCCTCTGAGGCAATGCTGTATGAAGCATCGAGTCGTGACTGCGCCGAGCCTTATCAGACGTGGCTCTTCCATCTGCTTGCTCATGGCAATATAAACTCCCAAAAGTTGGAAACCTTTTCAAAGATAAATAGTGCTGGGATTCCCTATACTTTACTCTTGGGGATTTCAGGCTATTGAGCTTCCAACGTTTTGGCTTCTACTATCAACTCCGAAGTACAATTTCTTGAAGCCCTGATGGGTCGGAATTGATCCGAGCGCCGCAGTACTGATGATCCTAAACCCTAAACCCTAAACCCTAAACCCTAAACCCTAAACCCTAAACCCTAAACCCTAAACACTTATTGAGCAAGAGAGGGGCTGGCTCTCTCCTGCATTGAGCTGATCTCCTTCTGCTCCCGCATCCATGGCGACTGCTTTTGCATCGTTCTCGCTGAACACACTTGCTTTCAGGGCTTAGGGTTTAGGGCTTAGGGTTTAGGGCTTAGGGTTTAGGGTTTGGGGTTCAGGGTTCAGGGTTCAGGGTTTAGGGCTCAGGGTTTAAGATGTCGAGAAGCTGGCCCCTGAAACTCCTGGGGAGGCTAACGGGCTCGTGTTCAGGGTTGCACGGAGCCTCGGTTTTTGCTCAGGTGTAGGGTTTCGGGTTGCGCAGGTTCAGGTTTAGGGTTGTTAGGGTTTAAGTTTTAGGGCCTCTCGTGGTTTAGGGTTGCGCACATCTAGATTCGTAGGTTAAGGGTTGGTCAGGTTTAGGCTTGGGGATGAGGGTTTTGACTTCAGGGTCCTGGGTTTCGGGACCCGAAACCCTAAACCTTAACCCCTAAACCCTCAACCTTGAACCCCAAGCCCTAAACCCTAAACCCTAAACCCTAAACCCTAAACCCTAAACCCTAAACCCTAAACCCTAAACCCTAAACCCTAAACCCCTAAACCCCTAAACCCTAAACCCTAAACCCTAAACCCTACACCCAAAGAATGCGCTAAACGCGGCTGGGCCCTGCGGCAGGAAGCGGATCCGCCGAGCCATGGTGTGGTCCTGAGAATCTGGTTTAGGGTTTAGGGTTTAGGGTTTAGGGTTTAGGGCTTAGGGTTTAGGGTTTAGGCCTTTACCCCTGGGTTGCCCAGTAACCTCGGATTCATCAAAAGGGTGCCCTTAATCGCAAAAAATGGTTTATAAGGGAACCAAAGCACCCCCCCCCCCCCCAAAAAAAAAAAAACAAAAAAAAGGGGAATACGGGTCTTACTGGCTGTCTATCCTGAACCCTAAAACCTGTTTACCCCCCCCCCCCAGAACCTTGAACCCTAAACCCTAAAGCCTTGGCCCCAGGTCCTCAACCTCCTAAACCCCTAAATCCTAAACCCCTAAACCATTTAGGGTTTAGGGTTTAGGGTTTAGGGTTTAGGGTTTTTAGGGTTACGAGCAGTTAGTTCAGGCCCCCGGCCCGCGCGGCAGCGGTGTCAGGCGAGCGGACCATGATGGTGAGCCGGAGGGGCTGAACCACCTGGGAAGTCAGTGGGTTTTACATGGGAATTTAGGGTAAAACCCCTAATCCCTAGACCCTAGACCCTAAACCCTAAACCCTAAACGCTCAACCGGGGAAGTCCGGGTTTAGCTTTGGGTCTAAAGGGCTTCAAGGCTGATGCAGGGCTTCAGTTAGCCCTGTAGGGCTTCCGGGTTCAGGGTTGGGGGTTGAGCCGCAACAAGCGTCATGGCCGCGGAGTCCAGTGGCTTGCGTGTTAGGCTTATTACTATTATTGTTATTATTCTTATTGCTATTATTGTTCTACTATTATCTTTGTTATTACCATTTCTATTATTATCACTGCTATGCTTACTCGTATTCGTATTAAGGCTTTCAGGGATATGAGATTTGAAGGGAGGCGTAGCTCAAAGTGCCCGGGTACCCCCCCCAAACCCTAAACCCTAAACCCTAAACCCTAAACCCTAAACCCTAAACCCTAAACCCTAAACCCTAAACCCTAAACCCTAAACCCTACGTTTGTAGGGAAGGGGACTTCTATGAAGACTCGCGAGTCCCTCGGAGGAAGCTGTTACATGGGTACATGGGCCAGTGGGGTTTAGGGTTTAGGGTTTAGGGTTTACGGTTTAGACTGTGTAGGGTATTGGAGTTTAAAGGTTTACTTGGAGGTTCAGGGTACTCAGTAACCCATGATAAGTGTAGTGACAACCCACATAATAAGACTCTTTGCGTACCCTAATTGGGTTATACATACAGCTAGAAGTGGCTAACCAAGTACCATGAACCTCCAAGTAAGTACTCTTTTGGGTATAAGAAGCTATAATAAGAAGCTAGAACCACCAAAAATATGAAAGTATAGTACTCTCCAAAACCCAGGTTCTACAGTGTTAAGGGGTTTGGGGCTTGCAGGTTTGCAAGCTCTGGGGGTTGTAGGATGCAAGAGTGACACGCGACAGGGGGTGTAAGGTTCAGGGATCTTTAGGGGAGAGATTGTGGATGTGTAGGCCTGAACCCTAAACCCTAAAGGGGCTTTGGCTTACATGATGTTGGTATTCTTGGGGCTTGTGGTGGGTGGTGAAGCTGTGCTTGGTAAACCCTAAACACTACATGACTCTAATTGCATGGTCGGTGAGGATTGGGGGTACCCTCTCCCCCTCCCACTCCCCAAAAGCCTCCGAAAATACTCCCTTGGACTGGGGGTTTTAAGTTTTCTTGGGGTTGGGGAGAGGTATCAGAGGGGCTTTGGGCTTGGGGCTCTCTTTGGGCGGCTTGGGGTTTAGGAGGATGGACTACTATGGTAATCGCCACATATCCCCCCAGTACTGAAATTCACTCCCACATCCGCAGCTCTAGTCCCATACCCCAAACCAAAAACCCCAAACCCGCAGCCCCTCTGCGCCCTAAACCCTAAACCCTAAACCCTAAACCCTAAACCCTAAACCCTAAACCCTAAACCCTAAACCCTAAACCCTAAACCCTAAACCCTACCCTGAACCCTAAACCCTAACCCTAAGTTTGTGGGGCTTGCGGCCGCAGAGAGTCCTGTCCCCGTGTCAGGATTCGTAGGCGGCTTCTGCAGCTTGGCTGGAGCGGGGAGTGGTGGTTTCGGGTTTAGGGTTTGACTGCTAAACCCTAAACCCTAAGCCCTAAACCCTAAACCCAAGCATGGCCGAGACCCGTGCCAAGGTTTCGAGGCGCCACACCTCCGGGAGCGCTCAGGGTTTAGGGTTTAGGGTTTAGGGTTTAGGGTTTAGGGTTTAGGGTTTGACTGCTTCTCACTGGATCTTAGGCGTGGGTTTGGGGTTTAGGGTTTAGGGTTTAGGATGGTTTAGGGTTTAGGGTTTGGGGTTTGGGGTTTGGGGTTTAGGGTTTAGGGTTTGGGGTTTGGGGTTTGGGGTTTAGGGTTTGGGGTTTGGGGTTTAGGGTTTGGGGATTGGGGTTTAGGGTTTGGGGATTAGGGTTTAGAGTTTAGGGTTTAGGGTTTGGGGTTTGGCTCAACTTCCTTGCACGGACTAGGGTTTGGGGTTTAGGGTTTGGGGTTTAGGGTTTAGGGTTTGGGGATTAGGGTTTAGGGTTTAGGGTTTAGGGTCTAGGGTTTGGGGTTTAGGGTTTGGGGTTTGGGGTTTAGGGTTTAGGGTTTGGGGTTTTGGGTTTGGCTCAAATTCTAGGGGTTGTACCTTGAATCCTTAAGGTTCTACCCTGGGTTTGTGGGACCCTTTTAAACCTTCGGGGTACGAGCCTCAAGACAAATCCACTCCAAAATCCTCCAAGCCTCCCAAATCCTCTAAGCCTCCCTGCTCAGGTCAAGGCCCCTCACGCTTCAGTGAGCTATACGTGTATGCCCCCCCTCCCTTCCAATCTAGCACACCTCCCTGCTGGAGACCAATCCTACCCCCTAAACCCTAAACCCTAAACCCTAAACCCTAAACCCTAAACCCTAAACCCTAAACCCTAAACCCCAACCTTCTGAATGGAATCTCTGCCTCCATATGCTTGGCGTCTGCCAGCGAGGAGGGCTGCGAGGGCGGAGCCAGGGGGACGCGGGCTCCTTGCACGGACCAGGGTTTAGGGTTTAGGGTTTTTGAGGGTTTTTAGTGTTTTTAGGGTTTATAGGGTTTATAGGGTACAATGGGTTTACAGGGTCTAGGGTGTAGAGTTTAGGGTTTAGGGCTTTCGCAAGAGTTTACGCCTTTAGGGTTTAGAGTTTTCGGTTGAGGCTTAGGGCTTCGGGCTACGGGCTCGTGGTTTTGGGGTAACCTAAACCCATCAAAGCCCTGAGCCTCTGAGCAGGAGGACCGTGAGCAGTCACGCCCGATCTCACCTAAGGATCTTCAAGCATGTAGGGTTTAGGGTTTAGGGTTAACCCTAAACCCAAAACCCAACCCTAAACTCCTAAACCCCAAAAAACTCTAAGGGCACAAGCCGCCCTAAAGCCCCCAAAGACCCTAAGGCTCCACATCCTGCACCCCGAATCCCTAAACTTCTGAACCCACCCCATGAACTTAACCTCTAAGCTAAACCCTCTCTCCCCAAAACCCTATACGCTCCTGAACCCGGAAAACTCCGAAACCCTAGCAATGCCTAAAACCATGTTAGGATCCTGACCCCTGTTAAGGGTTTAGGGCTTAGGGCTTAAGGTTTAGGGTTTAGGGCTCCTAAAAAGCCTAAAAACCGATAAGCTCCTAAACCCAAACCCAACATCCCCACCCCCCCCCCCCCCCCGACCCCTAGCCAACAAAGAAGACGCACACTCTTAACCCTAAGCCCTGGACCCAAACCCTAAACCCTAAACCCTAACCCTAAACCCTAAGCCCTAAACCCTAAGCCAGGCTTAACCTCAACCTTAGACTCCTGAACCTCGGGATGTTCCCCCTTACCCTAACTGTCCTTAATCGCGTTTATAATCTAGCAATTGCTTCAGAACCCCCCCCCCCCGGGTAATATATATATATATAGATATACATATATGTATATATATATATATTCTTCCTTATAAGGGTGATATGTTAGGATTATAATTTTCTTCTTTCGGGTTCTTAAGCAACTTGTAGTAATAGGGGGTACTAGAATCCCTATGAAGGACTGTTAGTTGAGGGGGAACATCCCAGCCTGAACCCCTTAAGCATGAGCTCCAAACAAAAACTTTAAACTCCCAACCCTAGAATCCGGTTTAGGGTTTAGGATCTATTTATTTATAGGGTTTAGGGTTCAGGGTTTAGGGTTTAGGGTTTAGGGCTCTTAACCCCCAACCCTCAGGGGCGCCCAGAACGTCCGAGTCCTTCATCCGGCGAGGCCTCGTTGACGCCCAGGGAGCTCTCGGCCAGATCGAGCAGCCTTAACTTGCGCAGGCAAAAGGGTTTTGGGTTTAAGGGTTTAGGGGGTTGAGGGTTTAGGGCTTAGGGTTTACCTTAACTTGCGCAGTTTAGGGGGGGGGGGGGGGTTGGGGGTTTGGGGGGTTTAGGGGTTTAGGGGTTGGGGCCTACGGGGTTTAGAGAGGTTTGGGGTTTAACCTGCGCAGTTAAGGTGTCAGACGGCCCCTTACGATCCGAAGAATGGGCCCTTATTATGTGTATAGTGTAAATTGTGCAGTTAATTGGAGCGGGAGGGTTAGGGTTTTAGGGTTTGGTGTTTAGGTTTTGGGGTTTATATAGGGGGTTGGGGTTTAGGGGCTTAGGGGTTTAAAATAAAGGTTTGGGGTTAGGGTTTGGGATTTCGGATTTAGCCATAACCTGAAGTTGGGCAGTTAAAGGGGCCGTTGAGACTTTGAATTTAGGTGTTTTGAACTTTTTTTCGGGGCTTAAGGGTTTACGGTTTAGGGCTTAGGGCCTAGGGATTTATATAGGTTTGGGGTTCAGGGTTTTGGTGTTCAGGATTTAGCTACATACAGGTTGAGGGTTTTGGGATTGGGATTTGGGGCGTCAGGGGCTTAGGGGCATGCGGTTCCGCGGCGAAATTGTTTCTTGGGGCTTAAGGGATGCAATCTACCCTAAACCCTAAACCCTAAACCCGAAACCCTAAACCCTAAACCCTAAATCCTAAACCCTAAACCCGAAACCCTAAACCCTCACCGGAATCGGCTCGATGTGCTGCGTTGTCCAGTGGGGCTTTCTTCTGAGCTCTCCCGATGTTCCTCGGGTCGTCCGTCTTTAGGGTTTAGGGTTTAGGGTCTAGGGTTTAGGGTTTAGGGTTTAGGGTCTGTCTCTCTCTCTCTCTCTTCCCAGGCCTGCAACTCTTGCACGCAGCTTTGCTCCTTCCTCACCCTCGGAATCAAACGAGCAAAAGCGGACCCCCGCCCCCCTCCCCACAAAACGAAGCAAACCGGCGAACTCCACCAAGTCTCGCGCGCACATCCGCGGACTTGTCATCCAGCAACGCACCCGAGGTCCGCTTGCCGACATTGCCGATGCCACCACTCCAGAATCGCTGCGAAGGCTCCTCCTCCAGGTAGCAACGCGGCAACGCGCCATCGATCACGTCTTCTTCCGCAGGTCATCTCCCAGCAACACGAAGGCTGTCTCCGGCAAATCATGTATTCGGGTTTAGGGTTTAGGGTTTAGGGTTTAGGGTTTTGGGTTTTGGGGTTAGGGGTTTACGGTTTAGGGGTTTAGGGTTTAGGGCATAATCCATGCTCCTAGGGTTCAGGGGGATTGCCATCCTCGAGCTGAGATGCCTGTGACCCTAAATCTCTCGCCTCAACCCCTGAACCCCCCACCAAACCCCCAAAAACCGACCCTAAACCCCAAACCCCTAAACCTAAACTCTGAAGCCCTAAAACCCCTAAAGCCTAAAACCCCTAACGGCCGAAAGCCCCTAAAACCTCTAAACGCCGAAACCCCTAAACCCCATAAACCTGAGGCTGCTTGCCGAATCAGCACCCCCAACTCAAGGTTGAGCCAGTACCTTCGCGCAGGGAGTCGCCTTTGGGGTTTAGGGTTCGAGGGCTTTGGGGCAGCAGCAAACCTACGTTTTGGTAGCTTACCCACGAATCCTAGTCCAGGTTTTACCGCCCAGTGACCTGCAGGATCTTCCCTAAACAAACCCCAAACCCTAAACCCTAAACCCTAAACCCTGAGCTTTATAGGGGTTCGTAGGGTAAGGGCTTTCGGAGTCGAGGTTTGACCTCGTGCAGGTACCGTAGTACGGCAATAAGACGAATATTTCGAGTATCGTGTGGCTTCCTTAACCCTAAATCCTAAACCGAATGCCTTCCCCTAATATTAACACACCCCTAATGCTAAAAAACCCTGACCCCAAAACGCGATCCCGTACCCCCGCCCCCTTTTGAAACCTCTACCGAATCAAGGGGGGTTAGGGGAGGTCAGCAGCCTGAAGCAGAAACCCTAAACCCTAAACCCTAAACCCTAAACCCTAAACCCTAAACCCTAAACCCTAAACCCTAAACCCTAAACCCTAAACCCTCAAGATTCAAGCTTGGGGTCTCCCAGCGAGCTACCAAACGGACGGGCTCTTTGTTCGGACAGTCGGTTGGAACCTCCCCTGTTCTCAAGCCCCTTTGGGGGTTTCGGGGGTCTTCATACTCGGGGAGGGGGGGGGGCGGGGGGGAAGGGGGTTTGATATTAGGGGGACGGCATTAGACCCTAAACCTGTTCTTAAACGCACCTTTTTAATGGTTCATGGGGCTTCAAGTGAGCCTGATCTCCTAAGAACGCTTCTAAGGGGACGGGTTGCATCCGAGAACCTCAACCCTAACCCTCAAGGGACTACAGGAGGGACCCTTATAAGGGACCTTAGGGATGATTTGGTGGTTATTATGTGGGGGGCGACTTAGGTACATCTACAGGGGTTATATAGGGGAATAAGACTAAGGGTTTTTTCTAGGGGCCCTCACCCTGTAGGGCCCCATTTGGGGTTTCGGGTTTAGGGTTTAGGATTTGGGGTTTAGGGTTTAGGATTTTGGGGTTAGAGGGTTCAGGGTTTAGGGTTTGGGGTCTAGCGTTTCCGAACGCCCTGCGTCTAAGTGCGTCTGGCGCACGGGACGAGACTCACCGATAGCTTTTTGATGATGTGGCTGTCGGCGATCTTAGTGGAAGCTCTGGCTCCAGATTTGTGAGCTGCTATGCTACCCTTTGATGGGACCCTCATCCCTAAACCATAAACCCGAAAAACCTAAACCCTAAACCAAAAACCTAACCCCCAAGTGCCCCAGCACTTTCAACTTAGGGTTCTTGCGGTCTCGTTTTTTTGGGGAGGGGGTTTCACTTAGGCTTTCGGTTTGGGTTTTAGGGTTTAGTTTCATGGCCTGTGCTTTCAGGTGTAGGGTATATAAATTTAGGGCATAAGGGTCAGGGGTTTAGGGTCTTGGGGTTTGGGGTTGCGGGGTTGTCGACAGCAGCCCACACAGTTCCTGGACTGCATTTGCTTCAGAGTTTTTGCTTGTATTCTATGATGTCCCTTGCCCAAGGCAGCCTGAAAATGTTGATGCAGCTGGTCCCGGGATTTGGCGCGACCTCGGGAGCTGGTGAAGGTGGTTGAGGGACCGCAAGGCCTTGCATGCGCGCCCGCTCGAGGATGACATAGCGCGGCAGCTTTATCTGGCGCCAGAGCAGTAACACCCCAATTGTCGACCGGGGTCCCTTGGAACGGTAAAACTTCAACACTTGGAAGTGCAGGGGAAACGTCCGGCACTAAACCCCAAACCCTACCCCCCCACCCTACCCACCTGATTCCATCCCCAATCCAACAAATCCCACCCTAAACTCTCAAGGTCAACCTTCTCTTGCATTTTAGGACATTGGCTGGGTAAGGGAAGACATTTTGTAATGTGATGCCAAGATTCTTAAATTCCACTCAACATATTCAAGTGCCCGTTCTGAAAGGAATTAAGGTCCCTCGTCAATAGTGACGAGGGTCCATTCAACTGGAAATGGTGTTTTGGCGACCATAATCTTTTCCAGGGAGCTCGTAGTTAGGTTACCAGAACCCTTAGGAGCGACAGTTCAATACAACATCTGTAGTCACGACCTGGGGTTTAGGGTTTAGGGTTTAGGGTTAGGGTTTAGGGTTTAGGGTTTAGGGTCTAGGGTTCATTATCTAGGCCCTAAACCCTGAACCGTCTGGGTGCGGCGGCCCATTTCGCCGAGAGCTGTACCGCCTCGCACGGTGATTGCAACTTGCAGATTGTATGTATGTATGTATGCATGCATGTATGTATGTATGTATATACAGACTGTACTTATAACCATTTATAAGCCCCTTAAGTGCCCTAATATGGTTTTAAGTACAGTTAAAAGTACAGTTTTCATTAGCTACTAAGTACCAAGAACCTCCAAGTAACTAACTAACCTCAAATACCCTAAAGCCTACCGAGGACCTAAGCACAACCCCGAACACCCTATACCCTGAGCCCCCCCCCCCTAGGGCCTAGGGCTTCGGGGGAGGACTCTTAGTATAATTATGGGGGAACATCCCAATAAGTATATATATATATAGATACATACCTACAGGAAATTCAATTACAATTCAAAGGTGCTCTGATTTCTTTATCTAACCCGGAGCGTTTGAGAAGCTAGGATGGATTCCCAAATATGGTCCTCTTAAATCCAGTGAGGGAAACCCTAAATATCCCAAGGGCCGCACACCACGCAATCACTGGGAGGTTTTTGGGGTTTAGAGTTTAAAGTTTAGTTGGGTTTAGGGTTTTAGATTCCCTTTTCCCCCCCCTCCCCCCATCTTCACTCCTCCAAGTCTAGGCACTCGGATCCCTTGGGCCCCTCCCCCCGAAACCCTAAGTCCGAACATGTTCAGGGCTTCGTGTAAGGGGCTTAGGGTTGACTCCCAAACCTACACGCCTAGCACCCCAAAACCCTAAACCCTAAACGCAGGGCCCTCTTGCGCCGCACTGGCGGGGGCCTTCTCCCGCAGCCATCTGCTGTTGATGTGAAGGAACCGACGGTTCCTCGGGAAGCGGCTTTCACACGGGTTTGAGGTTTAAGGCTTCCAAAACCCTCAAAAGCTTTCAGCCCATCAAGCTAAGCTCCCAAGTAGCCTGGAAGCGCAATGCCCCGTTCTTGGGTGAAGCCTAAACCCTAAACCCTCCTCAACCCCCCCCCCCCCCCCCCCCCCCCCCCCCCCCCCCCAAGCCCTAAACCCCAGGCCCGCTAGACCCCTAAGCCCTAACCCAACAAAAAAACCCCCAACCCCCAAGTCCTATGACACCTCCTAAGGCCGAAAGCCCTAAACCCCTAAACCTCTAAACCCTCAGCCCCTAAGCCCCTAAGCCCCCAAGACACTATAGGCCCCAACTCAAGCACCCCCTCTCCAGGCGCAGCGCAGGACCACCGGCAGCTCCCCCCCGTCGATGAAGTGATCGACCTCCGAAGGCGCCAGACAGCTCTTAAAGGCTCTTTAGGGTTTAGGGTTTAGGGTTTAGGGTTTAGGGTTTAGGGTTTTTGCTCACATCTTAGCCTCGGAAACCTAAAACCGCAAATAGGGTTTTTATGCATCCTTCTGCATGATAGTAGCACCTAAAACAATTTCCGGAGCACTCCTGAGCTACCCCAAGCCCTCCAAACCCTCCCAAAACCCCAAACCCCCACACCCTAAACATTAAACCCTAAACCCTAAACCCCAAACCCTAAACCCCAAACCCTAAACCCTAAACCCTAAACCCGAAAGGGCACCTTGGTGCCTCATGAGGGTCGCCTCCCCAGTCCTTAGCCCCAGCGCCTGCAAATGCTGCATGCCAATGTCAAAGCTGCGGTCCGTCGCGTGCTGCCCGACCTTTGGGGGTACAGGTGGGTTTTCTCTTCAAAACAGGGTTTAGGGTTTAGGGTTTAGGGCTTAGGGTTTAGGGCTTAGGGCTTTCTAGGTTTAACCTCAAAACCCACAAATTCCCGCATTATACGTAAGGTCCATGGCACATATCCTCATAGGGTAAATAGTGTTTACAGGGTTGACAGGGTGAAGAGGGCTTACAGGGCTGTCCAACATTCTAAGGGTAGTTACATGGTTGCTTCGTATGAGCCCTTAAATCGGTACGCCTTATATCTTCTATACCCTATACAACCCAGGGGCGCAGACTTCAAAACCCTTTAAAGCAGGTAAGGGACCATATTAAGGGACCCTAACCCTAAACCCTAAACCATGGACCGTGTCTACTTTTCGACAGAAAGAGCGTAAGCTTCCAGGTTCTGCCACCTTAAGGGTACTTGTAATGTCATGTTTGACGGAGTTGGTAGTTGTGGTTAAAAAACCCTAAACCCTAAACCCTAAACCCTAAACCCTAAACCCTAAACCCTAACGGTTAGAGTCGGCCCAAGTACTCTTCGCCTCTGGAATGACTGCTACTGCATCTAGGCTATAGGGAGCTTGGGGTTCACGAGTTTAGGGTTTAGGGTTTAGGGTTTAGGGTTTAGGGTAATGGGTGTAAAAGGTTTGTGTGTAAAAGGGTGTCCTCTTTTGTCTTGGTAGCTCAGTAGTCATCTCGTGATAAGGGTACCCCTTTTCGGCGATGGTTGCTCAGAGAATATGGGAACCCTGAAAAGTCGCAAAAGGGCACCGCAGGGCTACAGTACCAAGTTCTGCAAGGGGCTAGGAGAGTCCCGCACCCTAAACATAAGGGGAATAACCCGCCCCCCCCCCCACCCCTCCCAAGAACCTAAACCCTAAAGCCCCAAAGCATCAACCCTGAGACCTGTAACAAAAAGAAACTCCTGGTATGCGGCACCCCAAAACCCCAAAACCCCCGAAACCCCTAAACCCCCTAAAACCCCAAACCCCTCAAACCTCAAACCTCAAACCTCAAACCCCAAACCCCAAACCCCAACACCGCCCAGAACCTCCTAAACCCTAAACCCCAAACACCCTCAACTCCAGACCCCAACCCTAAACCCGAAACGAACACCCTAAACCCCAAACACCCTAAACTCCAGACCCCAACCCTAAACCCGAAACCTCAAACACCCTAAACCCGAACCCTAAACTTTCCAAACCCTAACCCCCAAACCTCAAAACCCAAACCCCCAAACACACAAAAGCCCAAAACCCCAACCCTAAACCCTAAACCCTAACACCCTAAACCCCAAACACCCATACAGTGTGTGCCTCGAGCCTGATGCCTTTCACCCGCACGGCCAGGACCTCGCAGGAGTGCGAGAACTCGCGAGTTTTGGGCGTTAGGGCTTCCAATACCCTAAACCCTAAACCCTAAACCTTAAATAGGCCGGGGTTTAGGGGTTTGTAGGGGTTCAGGGTTGAGAGAGAAAGGCGAGGTTTGGAGTTCTATTTCGGTCTTAGGGCTTGAGGACTCAGGGCTTGTGGATTTTTGGGTGTTGAGGTTTTAGGGCTTTTTGGATTTGTTTAGGGGTTCATGATGATTTTCCCCACGAAGGAACCAGCCCTAAACCCGAACTCGACCCACTTTCGTGAGATGACTCACAACCCAAGCACGTGTGTAACCCGGCATAGCGCCCCCAAAACCCTCAAGACGAAACACGAAACCCCAAACTCCTAACCAAGCCCCACAGCCCCAATGCAAAATCCGCTCCAAACCTTAATCCTCAAACCCTAAACCCTAAAGTCTAACCTACTTTTTACGTCAAGAGGTCACGTTGCTGTAAGCCTCTGTGGGTGTATGGGGATGCCACATCAGGGCTCCTTTCGTGGCTTAACTTAGGCTCAGGGGTTCAGTTTCAGTACCTTTGCCCTAAACCCCAAACCCCAAACCCTAAACCCCAAAACCTAAAACCTAAACCCTAGACCACTTGGGCAACCTTGAAGCCTATTTGGGGTTTAGGGAACCCTAAACCCTAAACCCTAAACCCTAAACCCTAAACCCTAAGCACCTCTTCGTGGCGGTGGATCCAGCTCACGGACAGCACCGGCACATTGATCGACAAGGTCCAGCCTAAGTACATGAGACTTCCTATAGAACAGGGTTTAGGGTTTAGGGTTTAGTGTTTAGGGGTTTAGGGGTCTAGGGGTCTAGGGGTCTAGGGGTCTAGGGGTTTAGGGGTTTAGGGGTTTAGGGGTTTAGGGGTTTAGGGGTTTAGGGGTTTAGGGGTTTAGGGGTTTAGGGGTTTAGGGGTTTAGGGGTTTAGGGTCAAAGCGCTGGACTTGAGTTCTGATATCTCTAATTAAGCAGGCAAGATCTGGTGTGTGGCGGGGGGGGGGGGGGGGGGGGGGGGGGGGGGGTTTAGGGTTTAGGGTTTAGGGTTTAGGGTTTAGGGTTTAGGGTTTAGGGTTTAGGGTTTAGGGTTGAGAGGCTTCTAGGGTTTAGGGCCTACAGAGTATAAGGTCTACGTCGAAGTCTAGGATGTCCCTTAAAACCCTCTGAAAGTACATTCCCAAATATGGTCCCCTTAAACCCAGTAAGGGGAAACATGTGAAATATCCCAAATGGCTGCCTAGGAAACCCTAAACCCTCTGACCCACAAACCCTACACCCTAAACCCGTGCAGGCCTGGAGTTGTACCAGCTTGAGCCGCCAAGAAGCACCATGGGATCTACTCTACCAACAGTCCTGGGATTCCCAGCAAGGACTAGACTCTGCAAAACCTCACCCTAAACCCTAAACCCTAAACCCTAAACCCTAAACCCTAAACCACGAAAAAAAACCCTAGGCCCTGAACCCTTAACCCTTGTTCGTGTTGGCAGTTTTGGCAAAATGGTGCCAGTCCGCCACTTGTACCGACATCCCATGGGAGGCCAAATCCCCCAAACCCTAAACCCTAAAGCCCGAATCCAAGCTTGAGGCTTCGAACCCGCAGCAAACAAGTCCCTGCGGATATCTGTAGGGAAAAGACTTAATTGAAGATGTGTGTGTGTGTGTGTGTGTGTGTCTCTCTCCGTCGTGCTGCTTTTTCCGCTTCAGAACATTGGATCCCGACCTCCAAGCCCTAAACCCTGAACATTAAACCCTAAACCCCACACCCTGAACCCTAAACCCTAAACCCTACTCCCAAGCAGGCCAAGGCTTGGGCTGGACTTCTCTTTTCCACCCTGGTGAGTCGTTTTGGGGCTTTGGGAGTTTCGAAGTTTGTAGGGTTTTAGTGTTTAGGGTCCAGGGTTTAGGGTTTAGGGTTTCAGGATTTTTGGGTTCAGGTTTAGGGTTTAGGGTTTAGGGTGCCCTAAACACAAACCTAAACCATAGGGCTTAGGGGGCTGGAGGAGTTAGATTCAAGAGGCTTTTAGGGTTCAGAGTTTATTATAAGGTTTTGAGATGGTACCATTGCTGAGGAAAATTGGCTTTTCAAGGGTCCTGGCCGTCCTTAAACTTCAGGAATCATGGTACGGCTGGGTGTCCTGGGAAGTATCCAAGAAAATTTCACACTAAACCCTAAACCCTAAACCCTAAACCCAAAACCCCAAACCCTAAACCCTAAACCCTGAACCCTAAAGCCCTGGTCGTTCGGACTTTCTACGCCCCGGCCAAGAGAGTGTTTGGGCTGCAGTCCCGCACCTCGGTCTCGTCTCGCACGGCCGGGCCAGACCTCCCGCAGGAAACCCCTGAAACCCCCTAAACCCGAAACCCTAAACCCTAAACCCTAAACCCTAAACCCGAAACCCTAAACCCCTGAACCCTAAACCCTATTTCCCCAAAACTCAGAGCTTGGACCCCCAAACCCGAAAAGAGCCAAACCCCTAATCCAACGCGGTTTAGGGTTTAGGGTTTAGGTTTTCGGGGATAGGGTTTAGAGCTGTTTCCCTAACAAAAAATCACAAAGTCCCACAACCCGAAACCCAATACGGTTCAACGGTACCCTGAACAAGCCCCAAACCTTAAACCCTAAACCACAACTGCTACCCTAAACACCCAAAGCCCCTCACCCCTAAAACAAAGAACCGCTACCCTAAACCCGACACCCCGAAACCCCAAACCCAAAACCCAAAACCCAAAACCCAAACCCCTGAACCCTAAACCCTAAACCCTATACCCTAAACCCTAAACCCCAAACCCTAAACCCCAAACCCTAAACCCAACCCCTCGACCCAAAGCCCCTAAATCCTGGAACCCTAAACCCTAAACACGAAACCCTACATCCTCGAGGAGGCTAATGTAGGGGTCGAAAAAAATTACTAACAGATTTCCCTTGTGGTCCCCGTATAGATATACTGTGATACCCCCCCCCCCCCCCCCCCAAAAAAAAAAATTATAAATATTCAGGTCCGCTATATTCGTCCCCGAAACCCTAAGCCCCCAACACCCAAAAGAAACCTATTCTAATTATTCAGGCCCCCATATCAGCTTAGTTGCTGAGTTCATAAGGCCCTCAAACGTGTAGACTTTCAGTTTTGTAGAGATTATAGTATCCCAATAAGTGTAAAGCGCTAAGTTAAGGGTTTAGGGTTTAGGGTTTAGGGTTTAGGGTTTAGGGTTTAGGGTTTAGGGTTTAGGGTTTAGGGTTTAGGGGACTCTAAGTCTGGGTGCCCACGCCATCCCGGCGCTGGCTTCACAGTGAAGTTGTGGGCTCCTGAGGGTTTATGTTCTTTTGGGTTTAGGTTTAGGGTTTAGGGTTTTTGGCTTTGGGGTTTAGGGTTTAGGGTTTTTGGGTTCTTGGGTTTGGGGTTTAGGGTTTTATCGGTTGGGGGGCTTAAGAATATAGGGTTTAATCATTTTCGGGCTTTAGGGTTCGAGAGTTTTAGCCTGGGTTGAGGGTTCAAGGGTTTAGGGATTATGGTTTGTGTCTTTTGGGGCTAGGGCATTTTGTCGGGTCACCGGCTTTTGAAGGAACAGTCCGGGATAGTGTTTTTGTTGTAGGGTTTTTGGGGTTGAGCAAGACGGGTGGGGGAGGGGGGGGGGGGGGGGGGGGGGGGGGCGGGGTGGGCTTTGGGCTCACCCTAAACTTTCAACCCTTACCGATGGGTCAGGGCTTGGGCGTTACGTGCTGCCACCAGATTAAGGCGAATCCATGGTGTATACACATGAGCAAGAGACCCGGTTTGCTTGGTATGGTTTAGGGCTCAGGGGTTGAGGGTTTAAGGGTTTCGGGGTTTAGGGTCTTAGGGTTTTAGGGCTTTAGGGTTTATATAAATCAAGGCCACCCCTGAATGAACTAAGGAGTCGATGCAACTCTGTAAATCAACTAGACCCAGGAGAAACCTAGGAATAGAAGGGGTGCCTTTTTTTGGTTTTAAAGGGATTTATAAGGGAACCTGAAGCCTAAACAAAGGGAATAAGGGACCACGCTGGGTCCTAGTAGAATAGGAAGCTTAAGGGGACCTCTGCATGTCGATGGCAACCAGGAAAACATACTGTGCAGACTGCTTGGAGGTTCATGGTGTTTAGTAATTAAATACAACTGTACTTACAACCCAGTTATATAGCCTGGGAAACTAGACTTAGGTGACTTATGAATAGGTTATAAGTACAGTTATAATTAGCCACTAAGTACCGTGAACCTCCAAGTAGGGAACCTAAGGCCAAGCCCATGCAGTTTGCTTGCGTTCCCCACCTGCGTTGGTTGGGGGGCTGTACTCCGTCTAAGATTGTGCAAACCTAGCAGTCTACGGAGAGCGCTGGGGTTGCAATGGTTGGCGGCTGTTACACTCTGTGGTGGACATCACCTGCGTGGGATGTCCAAAGACCAGTGGGCCCTTCCGCGGGACCTGCTCTGGGAACTGCGCCCCCGGCAGTGGCGTTCATCGGGACAGCGATGGGTGTTGCGTCACGTGCTTTGAGAAGTATGCCATCTCCGAGGCTGTGCGGGAGGCTGTGCTGGAGGCTGCGCCATCTGCGCTCTGAAGTGCGCCATCGGCGCGGCTAAGAATTGTGGGGGAACATCCTAGTTAAACCCTATAAGCCCCAGACCCTAAACCCTGAACCCGAAACCCCGTACCCTAAACCCCAAACCCTAAACCCCAAACCCGAAACCTCAAACCCTATACCCCAAACCCTAAACTCCAAACCCCAGACCCTATACCGCACACCCTAAGCCCCAAACCCTAAACTCCAAACCCTAAACCCCAAACGCTAAACCCCCAACCCCACACCTAAACCTCAAACCCCAAACTCGAAACCCCAAACCCTAAACCCCAACCCCCTAGCCCGTAACCCCTAAACCCTAAACCTCAGTAAGGTCGAGCCACCTCCCTCCGTGGTGGAGAAGCGAAGCTCGAGGTGCGTTTGCAGCTCCACCACCTGCGCCGCGTGTGCAAAGCTCTGCGGCTCATACTCCCCCCTAAACCCTAAACCCTCAACCCCAAACCCTAAACCCTAAACCCTAAACCCCAATTCACTCTGTGTGTGTGTGTGTTGTGTGTGTGTCTTTGTTCTTCACGACTATCAAAATTAGCTGTGTTATGCTGAGGCTGCAGCAGCCAGGAACCACCGTCCCAAGAGTAGCCTAGCAATGAAAACAGGGTACCCTTTGTGGCTTAAAAGGGCTTCTTAAGGGAACCCAAACCCTAAGCAAAAGGGAATTCTGGCCTACTCTGGGTCCTGAACCTAACCGCTGCACCCCAAACCCACCTCAATTCAGGCACACCCTAAACCCTAAACCCTAAACCCTAAAACCTTATCCGGGTATCCTGCCGTCAAGGATCGACAAGTAAAACCAACAAAAACCCCACCTACCCAGTGGGCGGAGGGGGGGTGGTTAGGGTTTAGGGTTTAGGGCTTAGCGCTTAGGGTCTAGGGTTTAGGGTTTACAGTAGGGTTTAGGGTTTAGGGTTTAGGGTTTAGGGTTTAGGGTTTAGGGCCACGAGCTTCCAGATTTTTTGCTTGTTGAAAACCTGGCAACGAGCAAATCTACACAATACTTCGGATTGCAGTTGTCTGCACCAAGTGGAGCATGACAACGCTTTGCTGCACCACAAACAAAATTATACTTAAACACTGCGTGGCTTCGGATGCACAAGATCACACATCACCTGTGTTAACGTAGACGTTGCAAAGTGTCAGTTCTGTCAGCAAACGTCCAAAAAATACAAAAATCTAGGAGTTGCACCTTGGACCCTGTTAAAGATCCTGAAGGTAGTATACGGGCCATATTGGGAGCACATTCAGGTGAACCTTTAGGGATACAACCTTACGGGTACGAGTCTTAACCTAGGGGTACGAGTCTTAATCCCTTGATAAAGCAGCTGTGTCAAATCTGGGGTTCCAAGTATGGGCCCTGCGTTTGGTCCCTTGCTATATAAACCTTCTATGCACTACATATAAGAAGGGCCCATACTTCGGATCCCTTGAGACAAGGGTAAGGGACCGGGCTACGAACCCATGGTTCCAACCTTAGATCAAACATCCAGCGCTACACCCTAAACCCTAAACCCTAAACCCTAGGTCGTAAACCCTACACCTTATCCACCCCAAGCGTTAGCGCCTAAACCCTCCCTCACTCCTCCAATCTAAGTTCATACAAGACGCCTGCAAGACCTGCTGAAACCCTGCCAACCTGGAAGGCTCTTGTGTAGACCCTAAACCCCAACCCCCAAGCCCTAAACCCTAAACCCTAAACCCTACACCCTAAACCCTAAACCCTAAACCCTGAACCGAAGCCAGCGGTGCTTCGGCCTCGTTGCGCGCGGAAGCCTCGAGAAGTTGCTGGCGCCAGGCAGGCGAACCTCCAGAGGGTGCCAATCATTAGGGTTTAGGGTTTAGGGCTTGGGGTTTAGGGTTTAGGATTTAGGCCAATCAGGGAATTAGGGTTTAGGGTTTAGGGTTTAGTGATTAACTGTTTAACTGTTTAGGGTTTAGGCCGGTTAAGGGTTTAGGGTTCAGGGTTTCGGGTTTAGGGTTCAGGGTTTCGGGTTTAGGGTTCAGGGCTTAGGGTTCAGGATTTAGGATTCAGAGTTTATGTATTAGTTAGGGCCTTGCTGATGTAGCGGAAGTTAGAAGTCGGCTTTGGCTTCCATTGGGAGTGGGGTGGTATGTGTAGGGTTTAGGGTTGTGTTTAGGGTTTAGGGTTTAGGGTTTAGGGTTCAGGGTTCAGGGTTTGAGTGAGTGTTGGTTCGCAACACTATGTGGGCCTAGGTTTAGGGGGGTAGGGGTTGGATGCCGCATAGACAAGGGGCCGCGCTCTGTCCAAACATCACGTGTGCAGTTTAGATTCTTTGGGCCAACATCTTAGCTAAACCTGCGGGGTCTGCAAAAACACTCAAACCTTAGGGTCTAGGGGTGTTGGGTTTAGGGCCCCTAAACCCAAACGGGCCCGAAAGCCAACATTACAGAACGTCTCGGTCCGCCTTGAAACATGCCTGAGCGGAGCCGATCACCAGAAACGAAGCACACCTGAGGAATGGGTCATCCCCTGAAACACAAACCCTAAATCGTGCCCAGGTCAAACTGTTTGCATGTGCTATGGGGAAAAGGAGGGCCAAGGGGGAGTTAAGGTTTAGGGGTCAATCTTAAACCCTAAACCTTGAAACCCTAAACCCGGAAACCCTAAAACCCTGAAACCCAAACACCCTAAAACCCTTAAACCCAGAAACCCTACAACCCCTAAACCCTTAAACCCTTAAACCCTTACACCCTTCAACCCTAAACCCTTAACCCTAAAACCCCTACACCGTAAACCCTTGAACCCCTAAAACCCAAGGGTTTGGTTGCAGGTCATCCCTCCAGGGTGAAAATAGTTGCAAGGGAGGCTTAGGGTTTAGGGTTCAGGGTTCAGGGTTTAGGGTTTAGGGTTTAGGGTTTGGAGGCTTAGGGTTAACCCTAGCCCTAAACTCGGAACCCGAAGCCCTACAGCCAAAACAATCCCGGGAGTCATTGGCCACGGATGCAGCCCCAGTCGGATGGCGAACCCAAAGCCGTGAAAGCTATAAGAGCTCAGAGGCTCCATTGCGCGGTTTAAGGTTTAGGGTTTAGGGTTTAGGGTTCAGGGCTTGGCTTGCAAGCTCCCATTATGAACAAAGGACATCATCTATGATATGTTTGAGCCTCAGGGTAGGCTTACTCCGACAAGCGTAGAAAACACAGTCTATTTTCTGTGTATGTCTATATATATATATATGAAACACACAACACCCAACATTTCAGGCTTTAGGGTTTTGAAACCGTAAACCCTAAAGCCTCAAGCTCAGGATGACCTCTCGAGAGCCTACAATTCGTTGTAGGGTGCAGCTCTCCTAGAGCGATATTAGCAGTTTGCGGTTTCGGGGAATCTCGTCCCTAAAGCCCTAAGATGAAGGGTTTAGGGTTTAGGGTTTAGGATTTGGGGTTTAGGGTTTGGGGTTTGGGGTTTCGGGTTTAGGGTTTGGGGTCGGGGCCTGCCATTTGTCTCCGAACGCCAGCGACACCCGTTCCATTCCCTTCTCGGCATCTGCACAGGAGTCGGCGGGAACCGAGTTTTGGGCACTCGAGGTAGTGTTTGATTGCTAGGATCCCGGAAAGGATACCTTGAAAACAGTACACACACACATATATAGATATATATGAGCATATATATATATATGTGTGTGTATGCACATATACGTATGCACATAAATACATACATACAAACATACATACATACATGCATGCATACATGCATACATACATATATATATATATAGATGTGTTTTATATATTATATATATACGTATGTTTAGGGATGAGGATTGGGGTCTGGGGAATATACATATACATACACACACACTGGCACTTCCCAGGCAAAGGCTTGAAGCGTTTGTGTTCTGGATGCGGGCCGTCACACGTCTATGTCTTCATGGTGAAACATAGGGTTTAGGGTTTAGGGTTTAGGTTTAGGGTTTAGGGTTTAGGGTTTAGGATACATTCATACACATAAGGGTTCCTTGTCATTGCAAACTAAATGCACATTCCTGACAACGACAACCCAGTGATTCACCCTGATGCTTGTCGACTCTGGCCAGCACCTCGAAACCCACGCCTGGGGGAGCCCCAGCCCAACAGCAACGACCTAAACCCTAAACCCTAAACCCTCAACCCTCAACCCTAAACCGATGCTAATGCTTCTGGTGGTCCTTACGGCCCTCGTAACCCTTCGGCTTTAGAACTTGTAACCATTGTAGCACTGGCCTGAAGCAACCACCCACAAACTTGGCCTTCCTCCCCTTCGCAAGCTTCTACGGAAAGGACCGCCGCCACGAAGACCTGGCATCCGGTCGGTAAGGCTACTACGGCTTAGGGCTTATAGGGTATAGGGTATAGGGTATAGGGTTTAGGGTTTAGGGTTTAGGGCTTAGGGCTTAGGGTTTAATTAGGGTTACTACGGCTTAGGGCTTAGGGTTTTTATAAGAGAACTGCGGTACAGAGGTACAGACTCAGACTATAAGAAGTTGCAAAAGCCCTAAAGCCGAACCCTAAATTGGTACTTGGAGGTTCATGGGTACCTATAAGTAGGGTTAGTAGCTATAAGTACACTAAATAAGGTTAGAACCATAGTAATCATAATTATAACTCTACTTATAGGTACCCATGAACCTCCAAGTAATGTCTTTCAGTTCGAGAGAGAAGTAATCGGTTGCTCTTGGGCCGAACTGCTGGGGAGATTTTCCGTGCTTCGCTGCGCGGTTTAGGGTTTAGGGTTTGGGGTTTAGGGTTGAGGGTTTAGCCCTTTGAGGCCCAAGCACATGCTTTTGGGGGCACCTCGGGGACCCCAAACCCTAAACCCTAAACCCTAAAACCTAGGGTGGGATGACTTCTGGAGGTCCAAGAATGTTTCAAGCACGGAGCAAGTCCTTTGCTCTTGGCCGAAGCAGCCCGAACGTAAAGACCCCAAAACCCTAAACCTAAACCCTAACAGCCCAAATCCTATACCAAACATTTTGGTGACAGGTTTTAGGGTTTCGGGTTTAGGGTCAAACACAAACAAAAACAAGAGGATGTAGTTAAAATACGGTCCCGTTTTGGGGGTCCTTACTACAAGGTGGCCCATTTGGCGCACCCCAAAAAGCCAAAAAACACTTGAGAACTGACCATGTGGGGGCTTCCGAAATTAGGGGTATCTTTTTTGGGGTCCAAATTATAAGGGAATCTTACTCTTTGGGGGGTCTATTTTTCGGGTCCCCTTTTTTCGTCGGCCCTGAACCCTAAACCCTGAACCCTAAACCCCGAACCCTAAACCCTAAACCCTAAAACCCTAGGTGGGTTCTTGAGGTGAAGCGCAGGCCCCGGGCCATGCCTCCGGGTCTGCCGCCTTCTTCTGCCTGTTCAGGTCCTCACGGCTTCCAGTTTTTTATTTTATTTTTTATAAGGGTCAAGGCCTTGAGGCATAAACAGAAGGGTCTAGATGCAAGGGTCGATATATATATATATATAGCAACTTAAGGGTCTAGATGTAAGGGTTTCTATGTATACATATGTATATATATATATATGTGTATGTATATATGTATGCATGTATGTATATGTACATACATATTTATATATACAAGAGGTTCGAGCATTCGGGTGTTCAGGATCAGGTTAAGTGGTGCACCAAACGCTACGCGAAGCCCTAAACCCCTACACCCCCAAACCCTAGACCCTAAAGATCGAAAACTGTGAGCCCCGAGGCTAGGACTGTGGTCCTAGGGTTTGGGGCAGTTTAGGGTTTAGGGTTTAGGGTTTAGGGTTTAGGGTTTAGGGTTTAGTGTTTAGGGTTTGGGGGTGTAGGGGTTTAGGGTTGATGAGCATAGCTTGCAGTCTTATGCTGTCTTGCCGTGGCTTGTCTATACATACTATATCTATATGAATATATGTACATACAGAGAGAGAGTGTGTGTGTGTGTGTGTGTGTGTGCCGTTGGGCTTTGTGCAGGGTTTAAGGTCTAGGTTTCGATTATACCTGAACCCTACACACTAAACCCTAAACCCTTAACTCTAAACCCTAAACCCTATAAACCCTAAACCCTATAAACCCTAAACCCTATAAAACCCTCTAAACCCAAAACCCTGAACCCCTCTGGTCTAGGGTTCAGTCTTGGGGGTCTCCGGCTTAGGGGGCCCCAGCGACTGCTCCTCCAAGATGAGCTCCACCCTTGCCTGGCAGGAACGGATTGTGGGGAAAATGCCTGCAAGGGCTTAGGGTTCAGGGTTTAGGGTTTAGGGTTTAGGGTTTAGGGTTTGGGGTTTAGGGTTTGGGGTTTGGGGTTTAGGGTTTAGGGTTTAGGGTTCAGGGTTTAGGGTTTAGGGTTTAGGATTTCGGGTTTAGAGACTAGGGTCCCAAACAATCAACCGAAGACCTCGCCAACCCTTGGTTGGGTTCAGGGCTTAGGGCTTAGAGCTTAGGGCTTAGGGTTCTTAGGGTTCTTAGGGTTCTTAGGGTTCTTAGGGCTTAAGGGCTTAGGGCTTAGGGTTTAGGGTTTAGGGTTCAGGGGTGGGCTTTATGTAGACTTCAGAGCAACCTAGGAATGAAAGGTGCCCCTTTCCGTTTCAAGGGGCATGTGGGCCTCCTCTGGGTTCGGACAGCAGTTATTTTTGGTCCCTAAACCCTAAACCCTAAACCCTAAACCCTAAATCCTAAACCCTAAACCCTAAACCCTAAACCCTATTCAGGTGGGGGGCCGTCTAAGATCAGACAGCCCAAGGTCCCCCAAATCCACTTCTTGGTCGCGTCGCCCAGGCATGATATTGGCCGTTTATAGCCCAAAGAGAAGGGTTTAGGGTTTAGGGTTTAGGGTTTAGGGTTTAGGGTTTAGGGTTTCGGGTTTAGGCTTTAGGCTTTAGGCTTTAGGGTAAAGGGAGCCCCCTAGGAAGGGACCCCCCAGAAAAGTACCCCTATGTTCGACGACAAACCCAGATTATAGAAAGGGTACCCGTTTTCTTTTTTGTTTTTTTGGGGTGGGGGGGGGGAGTTGGCTACATTTGCTACAACGGAACCCAGAACCAACATTAAGGAGCAAAAGGGCGCCACTGGACGCCTAAACCCTAAACCCCTAACCCCTAACCCCAAGGGCAAGGGTAGGGTTCAGGGTTTAGGGTTAAGTTTAAGGTTTGGGGTTTAGGGGTTAGGGTTTCGGCTTCGGGTTTAGGGTTAAGTGCGAGAGACCTTGTGCGGCACGAAAGCTTGAGTTCGCCAGCAGCTGATCACGAACTCGCCCTGGACGCGCAGGCGCCGATGCCACCTGCAGCATTTCGGGTGTCCACCCTAAACCCTAAACCCTAACCTCTAAACCCCAAACCCCAAACCCTAACCCCCAAACCTAAACCCTAAACCCAAAACCCTAAACCCAAAGACTTGTCCACCCCCTGATGCTACATCGCTTTGGAGTTTTTGGAGGGGCTCCAAAAATTCCTTAAAGTCCTAAAGCCCCAAAAACCCCAAAAAAAAACCCTAAAACCCCTAAAGCCGCCAAAACCCCTAAAACCCCCAAAACCCCCAAAACCCCAAAACCCCTAAAACCCCTAAGCCCTAAACCCTGACGAGGAAGATGTGCAGGTTGGGAAGACCGGCGAAGGTCGATGGGCGTGTTGCTCTGGCGTTCGAGGAGAAGGTGCTTTCATCCGTGTGCATGCCCTGATTTGGAGGTGGTCTGTACACGTCCTGGGACGAACTTGGTACCGGTCTTGGGCGCCATGCCTCGCCTTGCTGTCCACCCCCGTTTCGTGTTTCCTCGGGAGACGCGTCCTGGGGTGTTGGACGTGCAGGCAGAGGAGGTGGGATCTCGTCCCAGACGCTCTGCCTCAGGTATGTAAAAGGCGGTAGCGCAGCTGGAGGAACGTGGCCGCGATATGCGGCCGGTGTCATTTGTCCAGGCCAAATCGTGCTTTATGGTTTAGGGTATGGGGTTTAGGGTTTAGGGTTTAGGGTTTAGGGTTTAGGGTTTAGGGTTTAGGGTGTAGGAGTTAGGGGTTTTGGGCTACTAACTCCGAAGCCCTATAAATTCAGCAAGCCCCACAGGCTAGGACCGAAGACCTCTTCAAAACTTAGGGTTTAGGGTTTAGGGTTTAGGGTTTAGGGTTTAGGGTTTAGGGTTTAGGGTTTAGGGTTTAGGGTTTAGGGTGTAGGGTTTAGGGTTTAGGGTTTAGCCAGAGGTCAACCACCCCTGAGCCCCTGCACCCTGTATCACATTGAAGCCCTAAATGCTGAATCCTGAAAGCGAAGCCCTGCGGCCTAAACCCTAAACCCTAAACCCTAAACCCTAAGCCCTCAACCCTCAACCCGCCCAAAAAAACCCTAGAGCCGCATCAGCCTAAACCCTAAACCCTAAACCCTAAACCCTAAACCCTAAACCCTAAACCCTAAACCCATCTATGCAGACCCTGCAGCCAAGAGGCCGAGCCATGCAGTAGGAGGAACCTCCCCCAGTCTTTATAAAGGCTTAGGCCTTCCGGGGTCTCGAGGTAGGGTTTAGGGTTTAGGGTTTAGGGTTTAGGGTTTAGGGTTTAGGGTTTAGGGTTTAGGGTTTAGTAAATCAGAGTCGATGTCTTCAGGCTTAGGCCTTCGGGGTCTAGAGGTTGGGCCTAAAACAAAAAAAGCGCATGCAGTTTTGGAGTTTAGGGCTTGGTTTCTTAGGATTTAGGGTGCATAGTTTGGCTCGTGGCTGACATCATTTGGCACGCGGCCGAGACCATTTTGGAACTGAAGCCTGAAGCACAGCGAAAGAAATCCCGGGGGGGGGGGGGGAGGGGCAGGGAGCGGCGGGCATTTTGTGGCAGGGAGCCGCGTATGGACTGAGAGCAACAATTGCTCCACCCTGCCGGCCGCATATCAGGAGCCATACTTTGGGAGGGGCACTTGTACGGTCTAAGGTTTGCTGTGTCTGTCCTGCTCCCTTTTTTGGAGGGGCTTGAGCGGTATGGGGTTGCAGGTCACGCGCGGATTAAGGTTAGAAGAGAGAGAGAGAGAGAGAGAGAGAAAAAAAAAAAAAAGAGGAGCCTAAACCCTAAACCCCAAACCCTAAGCCATAAGCCCTACACCCTGGAGTGTGTTTTACCGGGTTTGGGGTTTATGGGTTTGGGCTTCGGGGCTTGTGGGGTTTGTAGGGTTTATATTTAAGGGGCTCTCGGATTCCTCAGACACCCCCAAACCCCAAACCCCAAACACTAAACCACCCTATGTGGCAGGCTTCCAACATGGCCTTCTACTGCCTGTATAAACCCATAGGAACCCTAAATCACTTCCCAGAAAAGACCTGTACCTGTAGACCAACCCTAAACCCTAAACGGCCGTAAACCGTAAACCCACACACTAAACCCAGACCCTAAACCATAGACCCTAAACCCTAAACCCTAAACCCAACACCCAAAACCCAAAACCCAAAACCCAAAACCCTACACCCTAAACCCTAAACCCTAAACCCTACACCCTAAACCCTAAACCCTAGCCCTAAACCCTAAACCCTAATCCTACCACCCTATGTAGAACCCCCTCCCCCCCCCCCCCCCCCCCCCCCCCCCGGACACAGACTCTGGAGGCGCTTGGCGCTCTGTTGGCGCCTGCCAGCGTCTCTGCGGCCACCAGGTCTGCCGGCTCCTGGGAGGGTTTAGGGTTTAGGGTTTAAGGTTTAGGGTTTAGGGTTTAGGGTTGAGGGCGCAATCTCGTGGAGATGTGTGGGTTAAGGATTTCAGGCTTAGAAGGCTTAGAGTAGAGGCTTCATAATTTAATGGATTTCAGATGGTTGATATAGTTACCCCCTACTGGGGTTGATGGCTTAAGGCTGAGGATTTTGTACGACGATGGGGGATTTGGGTTTGGCTTCTTGGTCCAGCTTCCGGGCAAACAGGGCTCAGGGTTCAGGGTTGAGGGTTTCGGGTCTTCCGGCCGGGCTTGGCCTTAGGAAAGCGCAAGAAATGCTTTCGACTGGCTCACCTGGGTTCCTGGTTAAGTGGAATACCTTACACCTTAAACCCTCCTCAAACCCTAAACCCTAAACCCTGAACCCCTCGAGGTCCTCGGCCGTGCTCGGCGCCCGCTCCAGATAGGCCGCTGTAAGCCTTCAAGGTTTAGGGTTTAGGGTTTAGATGCTAGGGTCTAGGAAAACCAAGCGACTGCAAGATATCATCGGGAGGGGGCGCGGGCCTTGGTGAAACGAGCCTCGCTCTCACAAATCGGAGGTTCGCGTTCAGTAGAGCTTTCCAGATTCTTCGGACGATGAGAACTAGACCCAAAGAGTAACCTAAGACGAAAAAGGATAACCTAAAGTGCCTCGTAAGAAAACCTAAACCAGGGAACCACAAAAAAATACCGACAGCAAACGGATCAAGGGCCTACTCTGGGTCCTTGACAAGTTAAGCCTTGAGGCCCGCCTCTACCCTAAACCCTGCACCCCCAACCCGAGATTCCTAGAATCCAAAAACCCTTGAACCCTGAACCCCAGAACGCCCGAACCCGAAACAGCCAGTGCTTAGGGTGTAGGGCTTTGGGTTTACGGCTTAGGGCTAATAAACCCTAAACCCTAAACCCTAAACCCTGAACCCTGAACCCTAAACCCTAAACCCTAAACCCTAAACCCTAAACCCTAAACCCTAAACCCTAAACCCTAAACCCTAAACCCTAAACCCTAAACCCTAAACCCTGAACCCTGAACCCTGAACCCTACCCTCTTAGGGCTTAGGAACCCCCCCCCCCCCCCCCAAAAAAAAAAAAAAAATAATAATAATAATAACACTCCCCTTCCCATGGTGCCTGAGAGAGGCCTCGAGGGCGAAGGGCACGGAGGAGGACCGCGAGGTCAGGGCATCACCCAGGCTCAAGCCTCAGGACTTGGGGGATGAAGGTTTAGGGTTTAGGGTTCAGGGTTTAGGGTTTAGGGTTTAGGGTTTTAGGGTTTTAGGGTTTAGGGTTTAGGGTTTAAGGGTTAAGGGTTTAGGGTTTAGGGTTTGTTCGAGTTTAGGGCTTGCAGGGCTTACGGTTCAGGGTGAAGGATTCTAAGGGCTCTAGGGCTGAAGGAGGCTCAGGGCTTCGTGAATGCAGGTTTAAAGGCGGGCCCAGCAACCCTACCCCCCGAAGCCCTACAGCAACAAACCCACAAAGGCCCTTAGCTCCAAAAACCTACCATGCCCTTCCCTAAACCCTCCAAACCCCCCCAAGCAATACACCCCCTTCCACTTGAAGGTAGCTACCCTAATCCCTAAACCCTAAGCCCCATAAGCCCTAAGCCCTAAGCCCTAAACCCTAAACCCTAAACCCAAACCCCCTAGCCCGAAACCCTAAACCCCTAATCCCTATAAACCCTAAACCCCAAACCCCGAATCCCTCTAATTAAGCCCTGTAAACCCTAAAAAAAAACAATAAAGGACCAAGCGGCTGACCAAGCCTCGGCTGAGCCGTGGCCGGTGCTCGCGAAGCGCCGCGTTGTCGCGGATCAGCTTGACCTGAAACCCTAAGCCCGTAAACCCTGAGACCCTAAACCCTAAACCCTAAAACCCTACACCCCTAAATCCCTAAAGCCTGAAACCCAAGCCCTAAACTAAAGGCTACACCCTAAACTGTATGGGGCTGGGTTTGCTTGGGCGGGCCAGACCCGAGAGAAACCTAGGAATAGAAAGGGATACCCTTGTTGGGGTTGGGTTTAGGGTTTAGGGTTTAGGGTTTAGGGTTTAGGGTTTAGGGTTTAGGGTTTAGGGTTTAGGGTTTAGGATGGTTGAAAAGGGGCTTACTCTAAGGGTAGTTATATGGGCCCTAAAATCTGGTCCCTTACCTTCTTTAAAAGTTTCTGAAGTATGGGCCTTCGGGTTGTGCAGGGTATAGAAGGGGTCTCCATACTAAGGGACCACGAAACTACCCTAAGACTTATAAGGGAACCTAAACCCTATGAAAAGGGAATAAGGACCTGCTCTGGGTCCTTTTGCTTAGGGCTTTTAGGATTTAGAAGTTCCAGGGCCTTTGGGCAGTCTGGGGTTTAGGGCTTGTTTTAGGACTTAGGATGTAGGGGTTTGGGGTTGAGGGATAACTTGACAGGGTGTAAATGGTCCTCATGGTACAGCATCTACTTTGGGACGCAAATACGACCGAAGCACCTGGAATCTTAGGAAGGGGGCTTGGGGCTTAACTGTGTAAGGGCGCTAAACTGTGGCCCAAAGAAAGCGGGAGCAGGCAAGTCACCAAGCCCAAAAACCCTAAAAACCTTGACTAAACATTCCCCAAGCCCTAAGATCTTGAAACCTAGAAATGAAAAAACAGCATGGCAGACTGGACATCGGGATGGTAGCTCACTTCGATTCGCTGATCAAAGCATCACTGGAGTCTCCGCTTTCTCTCATCGCTGCTCTCGCCAAGCCGGCTGTCACACTCTCTGAAGCTGCACATCCAGCCAATCGGCCTGATCTTCAGACTGCCCTCAGTGACTCGGATGCTGCTTTTAAGGCGCGCCATATTCCAGAACCAGTTGGCCAAGGTGAAAGATCTCGAAGAGATACCCTCAACCCTATACATAGAACAGCAGAAACCGAAGTAGCCCAAAGATCACGGCAAATCCCTACCCCAGACCCAAACTACTTCCTGGGCCCAAAGTATTCTCTGCAACCCTAGACCTGGATCCTTTGCTTGTTTTGTTTTGCTTTTGTTTGGGGTGGGGGGGGTGGGGGGCGGGGCGTAGGTAAGCTCCATGGAACCCTCAAAATAAACTCAACTCAACTCAAACCGTCAGGGTAACAAAGTCTGTTCCCTCATCCTAAAACTCCAGGTAAACACCAAAGAGGCGGCCGCCTGAACCTTCAAGCACTCATCAGCGTCCTCGTCAGCAAAATTCAAACCCTAAACCCCGAACCCGTAAACCTTCGAGGGGATCTCCCGGGCCTAGGGCGACTTTGAAATCGGCCTGTTCTTGTTGAATGTGAGCGGGGATGGGGGCTTGCGGATCTGTGCATTTGGGCTGCTGTTTGTTCAGGGGGGTCCCTGACTACTAAACCCTGAACTCTAAACCCCAAACCCCACACCCCAAACCCCCAAAGATGTGGTCGGGGTCTCCCAGGCGGCTCTGTTCGGAATATTTTGGGGGATATAAGATACCTAATCTCGGCTGGCCCAAAAAAGCCTCTGAGAAATATTCCTACAATATAGTCCTCTTAAAAACCAGGGCATGAAATACATCTATATCCCAAGGGCCTACCCAGTCATTCCCTCATTCCATACCCAAGAACCAGTAGGCTATGGTCAAAACCCTAAACCCTAAACCCTAAACGCTCAGACCCCGCGTCTTGCCGCGCATTTATTCGGGCGGGGCTTGCGGGAATGGCAAGAACCTCGCAAATATCGTATTTCTCGTCGGTGAGGGCAACAGCAAGAAGGATTATGTTAACATCCTGTTTTTATTAAAGTGCATGTTAGTGTAGAACGCGTCAGGCGGGGTGGCGGGCGTGGAGCGTAGTGCAAACAATCCAAGGGTACAGGATGCTCTGGCCATTCGAACGCACTGGTCACACGGACGTTATCATCGTGCGGGCATGGATGATGCTCTGGCCATTCGAGCGCACTGGTCACACGGACGTTATCATCGTGCGGGCATGGATGCTCTGACCATTCGAATGCACTGGTCACAAGGACGTTATCACCGTGTGGGCATGGGTGCTCTGGCCATTCGAACGCACTGGTCACACGGACGTTATCATCGTGCGGGCATGGGTGCTCTGGCCATTCGAATGCACTGGTCACATGTACGTTATCATCGTGCGGGCATGGATGCTCTGGCCATTCGAAGGCACTGGTCACACGTACGTTATCATCGTGCGGGCATGGATGCTCTGACCATTCGAATGCACTGGTCACAAGGACGTTATCACCGTGTGGGCATGGGTGCTCTGGCCATTCGAGCGCACTGGTCACACGGACGTTATCATCGTGCGGGCATGGATGCTCTGACCATTCGAATGCACTGGTCACAAGGACGTTATCACCGTGTGGGCATGGGTGCTCTGGCCATTCGAACGCACTGGTCACACGAACGTTATCATCGTGCGGGAATGGGTGCTCTGGCCATTCGAATGCACTGGTCACATGTACGTTATCATCGTGCGGGCATGGATGCTCTGGCCATTCGAATGCACTGGTCACACGTACGTTATCATCGCGCGGGCATGGATGCTCTGGCCATTCGAACGCACTGGTCACACGGACGTTATCACCGTGTGGGCATGGATGCTCTGGCCATTCGAACGCACTGGTCACACGGACGTTATCACCGTGTGGGCATGGATGCTCTGGCCATTCGAACGCACTGGTCACACGGACGTTTTCACCGTGTGGGCATGGATGCTCTGGACATTCGAACGCAGTGGTCACACGGACGTTATCACCGTGTGGGCATGAATGCTCTGGACATTCGAACGCAGTGGTCACACGGACGTTATATCTCAGATCCACGAAGTACTCAACTGTACGCCCTCAACCCCAACATCCCAGCCGCCCACCCCTCAAGCAAACCTCTAAACCCTGAGTCTCTATCTGCACCCTAAGCTTGGGATGTTCCCCCTTATACTAACAGTCCTTATTCGGGATTATGACATGCGGTACTAAAATCCGACTTGAAGGACTGTTAGTATAAGGGGGAACACCCCAACCCTGAGCCCCGGCAACATACCGAAGCCCCCTATCCCATCCCTCCAGTCTTCTAAAAAACTTTCCGAAAGTTTTTGGGTCAATGGAATTGACCCTTCAGGTTTTAGGCCTAAGGGAGTTTATAAACGGACTTTAGGGTTTGGGAGTAACCCTAAACCCCAAACCAGAAACCCGAAACCGCAAACCCCAAACCCTAAACCCCAAACCTAACCCCAAACCCTAGACCCTGAACCCTTGACCCTAAATCCTAAACCCTAAACCCTAAACCCTAGACCCTAAACCTTGCTGGGAACTCCTGGAAGCCAAAGAGGTGCTGCCAGACGTGCATGCCACCTCTTCTGAGCTGCTTTTTTGTTTGCAAGGGGATCCTAAAGAAACGGAGGTTTAGGGTTTAGGGTTTAGGGTTTAGGGTGTAGGGTGTAGGGTTTAGGGTTTAGGGTTTAGGGTTTAGGGTTTAGGGTTTAGGGTTTAGGGTTTAGGGTAGCCTCTGGATATTTAACACGCCCTTCTTTGGAAAGAAGTCGCTCACTTCCCACAAGGAAAAGGGACAAAACAAGGCCACGGAGTAGTAGGGGTGGAAGTTTTCTTGCGCCGATATGCGAGGGGGGGGGTTCAGGGTTTATGGTTCTCTTGTGACGCACCCTGAATCCTAAACCCTAAACCCTAAACCCTAAATACAGATTCTGCTCTTGACTGTGGCCTATTGAACCCCCAGACCTGAAACCCTGTGGAGGGCTGTGCCTTCTTCAGGGTGCGAGAGCCCTCAACACCAGGCAAACAACCACAAAGCGCTCAGGATACCTGAGCCCCCAAACCCTAAACCCTAAACCCTAAACCCTAAATCCTAAACCCTAAACCCTAGACTCACCGGCCCACCTTCAAGGATGAGCAGCTTCGCGGAGCGCTGCTGGGTGCTGCCGCCTGGCAGGCTTAGGGTTAGGGGTTTTAGGATTTAGGACCCCCTAAACCCTAAACCCTAAACCCTAAACCCCAAACCCTAAACCCTAAACCCTAAAACTCTGAGCCCTTAGGGCTTTCGCGGGGGTTTGGGCTTTAGGGCTTCCTAGGGTTTGGGACTTTACGGCTTCAGGGCTTCGGGATTTCAGGGCTTAGGGATGGGTTATTTTCAGGAACATATGCTAAGTTGCCATACACAAAAGAAGTAACAAAATGTCTTCTACACCCTGGAAACACTTAAGCGTCTGTTTGCCACAAAGCCCGAAGTCAGAACCCCAAACCCTAAGGCCTAAACCCTAGAAACCTTGGATTGTAAGCCACAAAAACCCCCATCAATCCGATAATCTCTTCACCCGATTCGGGCCTGAGATTGTTGCGAAGAAGCCTGAGATAGCTGGGTTCTGCGACTCTGGGTTAGTAGGGAAACCCTAAACCCTAAACCCTAAACCCTAAACCCTAAACCCTAAACCCTAAACCCTAAATTCAGCATGTTCCGAGGCTCCAAGGTTTCAGCGTTTGGGGCTGAGAGGGTGTCGGTTTCTAGCGTTTTGGGTTCCCCGAAGAATGGTGTAAGAGTGATCACAATTCATAGGAATTACGAGCTATCCTGAGCATTGTGTTCGTAGTTACCTTGTAGGGGTGAACATGTATGTGAGGGTTCCGTAAGCAAACCCCGGGCTACTGGTTTAGGGTTTAGGGTTTAGGGTTTAGGGTTCAGGGTTTAGGGTTTAGGGCTACTGGTCGAGCAGCTGTAGGGAGTCTGGTTGTCGAAGTGGAAGAGAAGGTCCTGCGCGAGTCGACGCAGGCTTCAGTTGGAGGTTTCGACATCCGAACCTAAACCCTAAACCCTAAACCCTAAACCCTAAACCCTAAGCCCTAAGCCCTAAACCCTAAACCCTAAAACCTCTGCAAACCCTACACCCTAAACCCTAAGAAAAACCATACACTGGAAGCCCTAGACCCTGAATGCCCCCGAACCCGGAAACTTCAATCCTAGCCCCTGAGCCCTCAACCCGGTAGAGGTGAATTGTCTCAGGTGTATAAAGGCTCTCAACCGGTAACCCCCCCCCCCTACCTGGGGTTTTGGGCTTAGGGCTCAGGGTGTAGGGAAGCAAATACAGCGCAATTGAACCTCAACCTTTTCCACCCTAACCCTAAACCCTAAATGTCTCAACCCTAAACCCTCAACGGTTCTTGGACGCCCTTCCACACTCGCAATGTTGTTGATGGGCACTTGAACAAAGAACCCAAGCAACACATATAGTTCCAAATGTGTCTTAGGGGTTTAGGGTCTAGGGTGGCCACTCGAAACCACACCCTGCGTACCCTACACCACCCGAACCCTAAATCCCCACAGCCCAAACCCCTGAACCCCAAACCCCCCCCCCCCCCCGAAAGCCCTACACTCTAAGCCCTAAACCCGATGACACCCTAAGCCCGAAACACTAAACCCTAAACACTAAGCCCTAAACACCCGAAAAACCCTAAACCCCAAAAGTCACCCTCAAAAGCCCGAAGCCCTAAACCCTAAACCCTAAGCCCTAAACCCTAAACCTGGATCCTGTTGTTGTTTACAACCCAATCCATGGCCCGCCTCAGCGCATCGGAAGTCGCGGGGGCGCAGCACCAGGAAGTAGCCCTGTACATTTCCACACATGCGGGTAGATATTCTAGGACCCCAAACGGCACCCCATAGTCTAAAGAAGGACCCATGTGTTACCCTAAACCCTAAACCCTAAACCCTAAAACCCTAAACCCTAACGGAGTTGCAGGGCTTAGGGAGGGCACTCCTGGTGTGGGGGGAGGGTGGCGGGGGGGGAGGGGGAGGTCCGGAGCAGTCACTGCGGTTTAGGGTTTAGGGTTTGGGGTTTAGAGTCTAGAGTTTAGGGTTTAGGGTTTGGGGTTTAGGGCAGTATTGAGGTTCTAGGTCTAGGGTTTTGGGCTTTTTGCGTTTACGGTCTCCTCTTACCCCCAAGAATCAAAACGGTTCCTCTGTTGCTTGATGGGGATTATACGGGAAGTTTACCCCTAGAGTGTTCCCCTGTAGTATAGGGGAGATGTGTATGGATATATCTATATTCTATAATATACATACAGAGTGCGAGACGGAGCAGGAACGCCGTCAGCTATACCAAGGTGCAGTAGTATGTGTAAAAGCAGCCGTGCCCCAGCCTCTGCCAAGGGCACATGGTTCTTTGCTGGGAAGGTGGTCTTCTGAATGTCGACCTGTCCGTCGTGGACCAGAAGATAAGACGCCTACATAAAAAAGAAACGAAAAAAAACGACCCTTAAACGTTAATCCTAAACCCTGAGGAGCCCTAAACGCTGCCCGAAACCGTTGAACACTAAAATAGACTTAGTTTTGAGAAGCCCTGCTGGGATCGTTCTCCTTCCACCACAGGGCTCCAAACCCCCTAAACCCTGAACCCTAAACCCGAAGCCCAAGTCCTAAATAAGACAGCCTTACAGCCAGAGGGAATCAGCATTCTTTCTCTGTGCGCACATCGGCCACATCACGTGCCATCCCCATCGTGACGAAAGATACACTTTCTCACTGCGGTGAAACTCACTTCTACTCGTTGCTTAAGAATCCCCTGGAAAACAGAACGGTTCTTCTTTATAAAGGTACAAAAGGAATTCTTGCTTTTTGGGGGCTCTTCAGTAGACCTTGAAGACCCCCAAAAAAATCAAAATGTTCTTCTTTATAAGTGCAATGTAGGGATGATTGTTTGTTGATGTTTTCGGGGTTTCTTAAGTAGACTTGTTGTGCTGTCTCTCCAGGGCCATCTCCACCCGTCTCCTTGGTATCCCAGCAACCATACTATAATAAGGGCACCCTAAACCCTAAACCCTAAACCCTAAACCCTAAACCCTAAACCCTAAACCCTAAACCCTAAACCCTAAACCCTAAACCCTAAACCCTAAACCCTAAACCCCAAACCAAAAAAAGGAAAAAGGGTACCACTGGGCTACCAAGTCTCGCCGCCTCAAAGCTTGCCCCCCTGGAACTTCCCGGCACCCGGGTCTTGCTGGCAAAGTCCCGCTTCTGGATCCTAGGCTGGCCCTTTAGCATCCTCTGAAGCCCGAAACCCTAAACCCTAAACCCTAAACCCTAGCCCTAAACCCTAAACCCTAAACCCTAATTCCCCCCCAAAAAAGGGACTAGGATCCTATGCCCCAGCTCTTCCACGGTCTCGTCAGCCGAGAACAGGATGACCTCCCAGAGCTCATCGTCATCTTTCCTGGGACGAAACCCTAAACCCTAAACCCAAAAAAAAACCTCCGAACAAAATTCCTGAATGTAATCCTCTTAAACCCAATAAGGGGAAACATTCCTAAATGTAATCCTCTTAAACCCACTAAGGGGAAATATTCCCAAATATAATTCTCTTAGACCCAATCATTAAGGGGAAAATTGTCCTAAATCTGGATCCTTTAAACCCAACAAGGGAAAACATGAAATTGTGCTAAGGGCCTGCCTGTAGCCCTAAACCCAAAACCCTAAACCCTAAAAAATGTCCCAAGGGCCTACCTAGTTTCCACTGAACCCGATCGCTTTCCTGACTTTCCTCGCCCACGCTGCCGTCCACGAGCTCCACAGACACACGCTTTCCTAGGATGGCCCATAAAGGTGTCGGGTTTATACCCTAAACCCTAAACCCTAAACCCCAAACCCTAAACCCCCAACAACAAAGGGAAAAAGGGTGCCACTAGGCCACCAAGCTTCCCTGCAACTCCAGGCCGTGGAGCCTCGAAACCGCCAGCTGTGCCTCTTCAGGAGACGGAAGCCTCGGAAAGGGTGGGTTTAGGGTTTAGGGTTTAGGGTTTAGGGTTTGGGGTTTAGGGTTTAGGGTTTAGGGTTAGGGTTTTGGGGTTTGGGGTTTGGGGTTTGGAGTTTGGGGTTTGGGGTTTGGGGTTTGGGGTTTAGGGCTTGGGGTTTGAGGTTGGGTTTAGGGTTTAGGGCAACACGTGTACTTCTCCAAGAACCAAGGGGAACAAAGGTTGAACTTTAAGAATCATACTAAATAGGGAACCCTAAACCCTAAACCCTAAACCCTAAACCCTAAACCCTAAACCCTAAACCCTAAACCCTAAACCCTAAACCCCAAAAAGTTTGAAGTTCAATGTTCAGAAGCATCTTGAGGCTTCCCTATACTACAAGAAGGGACACTACTAAGTACCACCATTTCCCCTAAACTGAAAAGGCATTCCTGGTCCCCTAACCCTAAACCCCAAACCCTAAACCCTAAGCCCTAAACCCTAAACCCTAAGCCCTAAACCCTAAACCCTAAACCCTAAACCCTATGCCCTAAACCCTAAACTCTAAACCCTAAACCCTATATGCTCCGAGGCACGCCACGAAAGCCGTGCTGCAGGGCCGCTTGCGGCGGCTTTCCCGTGGCAGCTCGACCTTCGCGGGCGCCAGCTCCTGACCGGCGAGGAAGGCGAAGAGGTCCTGCCCGTTTAGGGTTTAGGGTTTAGGGTTTAGGGTTTAGGGTTTAGGGTTTAGGGTTTAGGGTTTAGGGTTTAAGGTTTAGGGTTCAGGGTTTAGGGTTTAGGGTTTGGGGGGTCCTGCTCCGTGGTCTTCTCCGCGAGGTTGGAGATGGTGACCTACTTGGAAGTTCATGGGTACCTATAACCCCAAGACTAGGTCTACTGACAACCTCCTTAGAGGACTGAAGGGGGCTTAGAAGGTATAGTGGGGGTTAGAAGTACTAAACCCTAAAACAAACCCTAAACCCTAAACCCTAAAACTCAAACCCTAAACCCTAAACCCTACTTACTTCGCTGAGACTGCTCCACATTCTACGATGCTGCGTGCTATGTCTGGCAGTATCTCAAGTTCAGGCAGCCGAAGAAACCCCAGAGGGGTAATATAGGGGCCTTGATAATTTCAACAGGGTTTGGGGGGGGGGGGGGGTTATTGTAGTATAGTATAGTATAGTATAGTGTAGTGTAGTATAGTATAGTATAGTATAGTATAGTAATAAAGGGACGACAAGGGAATACGATTAGTAACTACTCCGACCCCTGTGGTAAACCGAGGGAGTTCGGCCAAGCAGCGCTGCAGCCGCTGCGATGCCTGCTGTCTTCTGACTGCACGGAGGACTTGCGAGCATTCTTCAGGTTGCGACCTTAGCTAGTTGATGGTTGGGATAAATATCAAAAACTAACGGTTCTATTCCTTACTGGGTTTAGGTACTCTTAAAAAGCAAAATGCTGCACCGCCATGAAAAAGTAAGTGCTCCGAGCTGTTCTGCACGACTCGGAAGGCGTAATGTGGGTGTCACCAAAACTACCAGTCATAATTACTCACCATGTGACTATGATGTTGAGTAATTAGTACTGGTGGCTTTCGTTGTGGAGACGAAACAAAAAAAAGGCTCCCAAAGGAGCCACAAAAAGAGCTCAAGAAATCGCGGGGTGAGGCGCCGAGGAATTCCAGGTTCTGCGGGCTCAGGTTTTGCAAGATCTTCTGCTTCTTCAGCAGCTCCAACAGGGCGGAGTTCTCCATTAACACCAGGGCAATGCGAGGGTCGAGGCCGGCCAGTTCCGGAGGGATGTCCTCCGACTTAGCCCCTGGCAGCTGGCTCAGCGGGGGGGTTCGGGGTTGCGGCGGCGCCTCCGCGGGCGCCGCGGGCGCCGCCCCGGCCGCCTGGGGCGCTGCTGCAGCTGCCTTGGCTTGGGGCCGGGGCCTCTTGGTAGGGGGCTCCACGACTTCGCCGGGCTGGGACGGCGGGGAGAAGAGGGCCTTCCAGCGCTCCATCACCGCGAGCGCCTGCTTGCCGTTCTCCTCCGCCGACTCCTCACGCTGAATCACCGTTACGGTGGGCATGAGCTTGGACGCCTTTTGCAGATCTGGCAGGGACACGGGCAACTTCAGCAGAACCAGCAGGCACGCGTACCGCGCGGCAGGGGCCTTTCGCAGCCACCTCTCCAGGATCTCCAGCCCGCCATCTTGGACAAACTTCCGCATGCAGGACTTGGGTGACTTGTCCAAAGCAGACAGTGCGGCCAAACATTGGCCCTTGGTCGAAACTTTGCGCATCGTGTCCAGGAGCCTCCTGGGATGGCCAATAGTAACAAAATTCTCTGGAAAAGATTCCTATCTACAAACTCCTCTTAGGGAATTTAGGTTTAGGCTCCTAGAAGGTTTAGGGCATTTTAGGGCAAGGTCTTTGGGGTCCTAGAAAGGCTGAGGCCAATAAGGGCCCCCAAACCCTAAGCCATAACAAGAACCCTGAACCCTAAACCCTAAACCCTGAACCCTGAAACCCTAAACCCTATAAACTTTAAACCCCTGTTTTTCGAAATCCCATAGAAACATCTCCCAAGGGCCTACCGAGCCTCTTGGCATCTGCCTCACTCGCCATGGGCTTTATGGCCTCGCTCGGGGCGGCCGTCGTTTCCGCCTTACTCGCAATGGCGCTCGCCAGGGTTTGGGGTTTAGGGTTTAGGGTTTAGGACTTGGGGTTTAGGGTTGTTAGGGCTTAGGGTTTTTAAAAATTTTAGGGCTTAGGGTTTAGGGCTTGTTTAGGGTTTAAGGTTTAGGGTTAGGGCTTAGCTTGCAAGTTGCCTGCAGCTGCGAGGAAGGGCCATGAGGAACGCCCATGGCAAACTCGGAAACGAGGCCGTCTCAAGCTTCCAGAGGTGAAAACCAACCGTTCATGGGCTTTATTGAAATGAAGTAGGGTTTGTATTTCTTGTATCCCAAAAAAGGACACCAAGTATATACACTCACCAATATGAAAAAGACACTCACCAATAACAGTAATATAAACCCTACTTCAAATGAGGGTTTACGAACATCTGGGGGGACCCCTAAAATAGACCCCAACTAATAGGATTCCTTATCGTAAGCCTACTTCTCAAGCTTGTAGAGGTGACTGCCAGCAGCGTGGGGAAGATGCCCAAGGATTGGGATGTTTCCCTGTAGAATAACAGCCCTTAGTGGGGATTGCAAGAGGAGGGGTACTCTGATCCCGATTAAGCACCGTCCCAACCTAAGGACATCACAAGACCATCATAGGATAACACGCGAGTGATGCCGACAGAGCGATGACTTCCCTAAACCCTAAACCCTAAACCCTAAACCCTAAACCCTGCTTTTTCAAAGGCTGAGGGTGACGAAGGGCCAATGCCCACGCCGATCTTCAGTAGGCTACGTAAACCCTAAACCCTAAGCCCTAAATAACAAACTCGAAAAACAACCCCAAAGCCCCTAACAACCCCAACCCTGTATACCTTAAACCCTGAACCCTAAACCCTTCAGTAGGCTAAACCCTAAACCCTGAACCCTAAACCCTAAACCCGAAACCCTAAACCCTGAACCCTAAACCCTAAACCCGAAACCCTAAATCCTAAACCCTAAACCCTAAACCCTAAACCCGTTGTGAACCTTGTAGATCACAAGCAAGGCCCAAGAGCCTCCCTGAACCCGCGCCCGGTAAGCTTCCCATGGGATCTTCAAGGGTTGTGTTTAGAGGGACTTTTTTAAGGGTTATTTCTGAGGGATTTCCTAGGGTTTAGGGTTTAGGGCTAGGGTTTAGGGCTAGGGTTTAGGGTTCCTGGTCCCTAAATAGGAAGGGGAGAAGGTTGCTGCTGAGCATCCTGGCAAAAAACTCTTCAATATCTGTAACAATAAACCTTAGCCCTAAACCCTAAACCCTAAGCCCTAAGCCCGAAGCCCTAAGCCTTAAGCCTTAAACCCTAAACCCTAAACCCTAAACCCTAAACCCTAAACCCTAAACCCTAAACTCAACCCATGGGTGGGGCTGGCTTGCCCAGCGGCACCAATAGACCCCAAAGTAGAGGACACTTCCACACATCGCACTAGGATCCTTAGGGTTTAGGGTTTAGGGTTTGTAGTTTGTAGGGTTCAGGGTTTTGTAGGGTGTAGGGTGTAGGGTTCAGGGTTCAGGGTTCAGGGTTTAGGGTTTAGGGTTTAGGGTTTAGGGTTTAAGGTTCTGGCCTGCACGAAGGCCGGCTCGAAGCGGCCCTGGCCCGAGTCCCCACTGCGGTCCCGGTACACGTGGAATGTGCCTCGGCCCAAGGCTTACCGGGAGGATTCATGGGTACGTAGAACCCCATAGATTAGGGTTTAGGGTTTAGGGTTTAGGGCTTAGGGCTTAGGGTTTAGGGTTTAGGGTTTAGGGTTTGTGGTTTGTGGTTTAGAGTTTAGGGTGTAGGGTACTTATAACCCCAGTTATAAGTCTACTTATAACCTACTTAGATGACTTAGGGGGCCTCGAAAGTACAGTTCTATTTGGGGTTAGAAGTACCCATGAACCACACCTCCAGTTCGACAGCTAGTTCTCGGGGTTTTGGGTTTAGGGCCTGGCGCAGAAGTTTCAGTTACAAACCCTGAGCATTGAGGCTCGAAGCCCAGTTCAGGCCTTAGGGTTTCGGGCTTAGGGTTCAGCTTAGGTTTAGGGTTTCAGGGTTCGGGCTTCCTATCCGTAGCAGGAGACATGTCACAGGAGCATGGCCGACGTCTACATTTGAAGCCCTATGCCCTAAACCCTGAACCCTAAACCCTAAACTCTGAACCCTGAACCTTAACCTTCAAGCCTTAACCCTAAACCCTGAACCCTGCAGCCCATAACCCCTAAGCCCTAAAAGGGGGATGGTGCCCCATAGCTCGTGCACCTCCGCTCGCCTTTGAGGTGCGTATTCTAAGCTGATTTTCCCCTCAACAATGCTCCTAAATCCCTGCACTAAGTGTCTTTGTACACGTGGGGGCGTTTCCGAAAATGGGGGGGGGGGGGGGGGGGGGGGGGGGGGGGGGGAGGGGGGGGTACACTTTTTGGGGGGCTCCTTACGGGGATTCTCTACTATTTGGGGGATAAAAGGGCGTCCCCCCCATTTTGGGAAGTCAAATGTACGTATCTACGTTTATAGGCAGATACGTAGAGAAGCATAGAAAAGATAATGAAATACAATATATTCAATGTCAAGTATGTAGAAGTATATAAGTTATAAAAGCACATAATGTGCAGAACTAGCTAGCCATAAACTTCCACAAACCCTAAGCCAGAACCGCAATCCGTGCCTCAAGAACCCGCAGATCACCCTTCAGCGAGCGGCAACAGATGGCTCCGAGCAAACTACCGAAACCGCACATTCAAAACGAGTGTTTAGGGTTTAGGGTTAAGGGTTAATCAATCTGGCCAGTTAAGAGCTTCGAGTATGGGGGCTACTCCTCTACAATAAAGCCCTGTCCTACACCCCAAAACCTACGTACACCCAAAACCCGCAAACCCGAAAGCACTTTAACCACTAAAGGCGCAACACCAAATCCAGTGGAGCTTCAAGCAAAGGCCCGAAACACGTGGGGCACTCCTCCGGGCCCCGGACGGCAGTGTTCCACGCCGTCCAAGCCTCTGAAGCTCATGGGGTTTAGGGTTTAGGGTTTAGGGTTTAGGGTTTAGGGTTTAGGGTTTAGGGCTTGGGGTGAAAGTTTAGGGTTGAGGGTTTAAGGTTTAGGACTGAGGTTTAAGGCGTCTTGCCCGGAGAAATTTCAGGAATGTACGAAGTCCCCAACACAATCAACGATGTAGAGCAAGCCCCCGATCTAGGTTCTCAGGTTATCGCGACTTCTTGGTGGCCAACTAGCCATCTGAGATTGTGGGTTTAGGGTTTAGGGTTTAGGGTTTAGGGTCAAGCTACCCTGCACTTCTGTTCGGCTAGTGTCCGATAAGCCCTGAATCCCAAACCCCTGTAAACCCAAAGACAAACAGAGAATAAAACCCTAAACCCTACAAACCTAAAAGCAAGGAGGAAGAGCAAGTCAACAAACAGGGCGGGGTTCATGCGGGAAGTCACTGGCTGCCGACGGGCGTCAACCCTAAACCCTGAACCCTGAACCCTAAACCCTAAACCCTAAACCCTGGATCCCCCCACTTCGGCGTTTGAAGCCCTGAAGGCTGAGCTCAAAGAGATGCGGAAGCTAAGGGTGCCGGAAGCAGACACGTGGCCCCAAACATCCTACGAAAGGGTTTAGGGTTCGGGCATAGTGCTTGTAGGGCTTTGGGGAGTGCAGGGTTTCGAGGGGGTTTGTCGGGTTTTGGGCGTATATATGATTCTATGTCTACGGCTTAGATTATAGGCTGCATAAGGTAATTTCTACACCACGAAACCGAAACCCCGGAACCCAAACCCGAAGCCCCAAACCGTAAACCCGAAACACCACCTGTGGGCAGTTCTCTAGTTGTGGTCCCTTTTGAGAGAGGCAACCCAAGAAGAGAACCTAATTTAGGGTATGGGGCGTAGGGATTAGACTAAACCCTAAACCCTAAACCCTGAATCCTAAACCCTAAGCCCTAAGCCCTAACCCCTAAACCCTAAACCCTAAACCCTAAACCCTAAACCCTAAACCCTGCAAGAGTCCGCCCAAAAAGTCAAAGCCTTGGAAGGAGAAGGGTTCGGAGGTGAGCCCATCGTGTCGGAAGTACAGCCTTAGTGAACACCTAAGAATTAGGGTTTAGGGTTTAGGGTTTAGGGTTTAGGGTTTAGGGTGACCCCAGGAGTAACCTAGAACAAAATGGTACCCTTTTTGGTTTCAGAGAGATTGAGAGAGAACCCCAACCCAACAATAATGAAATACCGGCCTTAGTGAACACTTTAGCTGGAGGGTTAGAGGATTAGGGGTTTGGGTTTAGGGTTTGGGGTGTTTGGGGTTTTAGGGGGTGATTTGGAGTTTGGGGATTAGGGCTTTGCTGCTAAAGGTGGTTAGGGTTCTCAGAGTTCTTGAGGGTGGCTAAGCTTCTTGGAAACACCGTAAACCCCAAACCCTAAGCCCTACTTCTTTTGGGGCTTTAGGTTTCGTAGGGTTTCAGGTTTTCAAGGGCGTGAGGGGGCGCTTTGTTGCTGCGGGCTGGGGGGGGCCTTTCGAACGCCATAGGGCTTCGCGGGCAGCCTTTGCTACGGAACTCGGGAATTAGGTTAGGTACTCTTATATCCCCCCATAAATGCGAGAAAAGGTACAAATGAAACACTTTAGGGAAGTATTACTAAACCCACACCCTAAACCCACACCCTAAACCCTAAGCCCTAAACCCTAAACCCGAAACCCCAAACCCTAACCCTAAACCCGAAGCCCTAAACCTCAAGACCTGCAAACCCTAAACCCGAGAAACCCTAAACCCCAAACCCTGTACCCTAATCCCTACACCCTAAAAGGGTTTAGGGTTTAGGGTTTAGGGTTTAGGGTTTAGGGTTTAGGGTTTAGGGTTTAGGGTTTAGGGTTCCTAAACCCTGCAACATCAACCCCAAAAAATGATCCCCACGAGTCCCCGACCGGTCGCTGCGGTCGAGGCTTTGAGGTGGATGCCTGGGTGGCATAGAGAGGTTTAGGGTTTAGGGTTTAGGGTTTAGGGTTTAGGGTTTGGGGTTTAGGGTTTCGAGGTTTAGGGTGTAGGTCTGAGGGAGCAGGGTTTGAGGTTTAGGGAGTAGGGCTTAGGGGTTGGGGTTTAGGGTTCAGGAGTTAAGGTTCAGGGTTTGATGACTAGGGTTTGGGGTTGAGGGACGAGGGTGTTAAAGTCTACAGTTTAGTGATAAGCGCTTCGGGTGTAGTGATAAGGGTTTAGGGACGAGGGTTTAGGAAAGGTTCAGGGTTTAGTTGGGGATTCATGTTGAGGGCTTGTGGGGGTTTGGGGGTTTTGGGGTTCAAGCTGTGGGGGTTGGAGGTTTAGGGTTTGCTGCTTCACAGGTTTACGTCAAACCTAAGCAACTCTCACAGGAACACCCTACCCGACCCTGACTGCGAGTCCATTTGAAACGCCCCTTGTACTCTAAAACGACATTAAAAACCCACAGCCCTAAGCCCTAAACAGAACCAAAAAAGAATGACACCGCCCCAGCAAGTCTTGACTCGATCGTCCTTGCCTCTTCGTGAAGAGCGCTAAACGACAGCTCCGCAGTTCAAGGGGCTTGAATAGCAACCACAAACACGGAACCCCAAGAACTTAGTAGGAACAGAGTAGGCATACACCTACCAGATATATTTCCTTTCTATCCTACTATGTTCTTGGGCTTCCCTGTTTGGGGTTGCCATTAGCTTTACTTAAAACAGGCCATCAGGCCTAAACCATAAGCCATAACTCCAAAGCCCAGGTACACAGGAACGCATTCGCCTGGCTCCAGGCGGATTTCCACCTCAGTGTCACAGACGCTTAAAGAACTACATTGAGCGTAGGGTGCTACTTGCAGTTCTTGGTTATATGTATGTATAGCTCCTGGTGTATATATTCATTCGTGAGCGTATAAGGATATACTGGCATCCTTTACACTGGCCAACCGAACCTACCTCACATGCTTCGGGGAGGGGGGGGGGGATCTCAACGCTAGGGATCAGGGTTTAGGGATCCTCCGTTGCCCCATCATGCGAGAATCCTAAGAAATCTTTCCCCCAACCTGAGCCCTGAACCCTTAATCTTGTGCACCCCAAAGCAGCTGGACGTGTGGCTAAACGGAAGAAAGGCCGAAAACGGCCTAAGCCAATTTGACAATTAGGCAAGGCAAGCGCTAGTTGAGGGAATGCTTTTCAGGGTGTTTGGGTTTGGGGGTTTAGGGGGTTTTGGGGTTAGGGATTGCTTGTGCGTTAGCCGGGCAGTTGCGAGAGTTTGGGTTTAGGTATAGACAGGGTTTACAACTCGTTGAGGCCTCTAGGGAAAACTGCTTGCTTCTAAGCCGACCCGCTAATGTACCCTCCACATAACACAGAAATCAACACCCAAAACCTTAAACCATAAACCCGAACCCTAAACCCTCGCGAGAGACATTAAGCCCTCCTAACACCTGCTCCGTGCCCCACAACGCAGGAGCGGGAAATAGGATCTTACCCTGAACCCTCGAAACCCTCTCAAACCTCTCAAACCTCTCAACCCTCTCAAACTCTCAACCCTCCAAACCATGAACCCTGAACCCTACTCCCTAGGCCTAAAGTGCCTGACCCCCGAAACAACAAACGCCTTCCCCCTAAAACAAAATCACCGACTTCCTTCCCGACCGCAGGGCCCGCCCCCCCCCCCCCCCCCCCCCCTGGGTTTAGGGTTTAGGGTTTAGGGTTTAGGGTTTAGGGTTTAGGGTTTAGGGTTTAGGGTTTAGGGTTTAGGGTTTAGGGTTTAGGGCCCCCAGCTCCGCCCTCACCCCCCGCTCTCCCCCCCTTCCCGCACCAACAAAGAGCACGACCCAACACCTCGAAGAGTCTCAGACTTAACGTGGTAGCAGAGGGATAACACCCTAAACCCTAAACCCTAAACCCCCAAGCCCTAAGGCAGCCGCCTCGGCTGGACTGCCCTCAAAGCCGAGCTGGATGGCATGCTCCAACTCAGACCTGTGGATTCACTAAAGGGTTTAGGGATTTAGGGTTTAGGGCTAGGGTTTAGGGATACTCAGACCTGGGGATTCATGAGTTTAAGGGTTTAGGGATTTAGGGTTTAGGGATACTCAGACCTCGGGATTCATGACTTTAAGGGTTCAGGGGTTTAGGGTTTAGGGCTAGGGTTTAGGGATGCTCAGACCTGGGGATTCGTTAGTTTAAGGCTTAGGGATTTAGGGTTTCGGGTTTAGGGCTAGGGTTTAGGCATTTAGGTTAGATTTGCGACGTTCACCGTTCTACTAGCTTGGTATAAGGGGGAACATCCCATGATTAGGGTTTTAGGGGTTTAGGGTTTAGGATTTAGGGTTTAGGGCCTGGTTTTCGGGTTTAGGGATTGCGAATTTTAGGTTTAGGGTTTTGAGATGGTGCCCGAGCAGCTTGCCTCGGATGGTCCCGCGCGCACGGGCCATCCAACTGGAGATGAGGCTGGCAAGTTCCTGCTCATCAACGGGGCAAGGGGCCGGAACCCAACGTCAGTGAGGGGTAGCTCGCCTCGCTCGGCCGCAACCATGGCTGCTGCAAGGATGATGCACTCGAGTAGGGCATCTTCGGTTCTCACTTGTGCAGCGAACCAAGCCACGGCGTACCTCCAGTTCGGCGGGAGGTCGTACCGAGGTCGTGTCCTCCCACACCATGTGAAGCCAACCGTGGCTCCCATCACCAGGCCTTCGGCCCAGGCGAGGACCGCGGCATCGTCTGCGATGTCCTCCTTGAGGCAGGGTGCGCCTCGGTTGTAGGCGTTTGCGTACTTGGGCATCCTCAAGCCGGCTTTAAGGTTCCAAGGTTTAGGGTTAGGGTTTAGGGTTTAGGGTAGGTGTTAGGGTTGGGGGGCTGCAGGGCTTGGTTCAAGACACAAGTCCTTAAACCCCACGACATGTCCACATAATTACTTTCCATACGAATTTGTCGGGTTTGGTATGCCTGGGAATAGTACGTACCCCTAAGTAGGCCTTAAGCTCTAAGCCCTTAAAGGCCCAAACCCTAATACAAAGAACAGAGTCTGTGACTCTGAGCCTTCCCATCCGAACCGAGGATGGCCCTCTTAAACCCAGGGTTTAGGGTTTAGGGTTTCGGGTTGAGGGTTTTGGGCATCCCAAGGGCCTACCCAGCAACCTCAGAGATTGTCTTAACCCTAAAGGTTGCAGACCTTGGACCTAATCCCGAACCACAAGCCTGAAAAGCCTGCATCGACATTCAAAAGGCCCCGGACCCTAAACCCCAAACACTCAACTCCGCCCTCAAAGCCGCGCATCACAATCCCTGACTTTGACTTCAGGGTTTAGGGTTTAGGGATTGGGGTTTGAGCTGAGGATAAAATGAATATGATGAAAGCTTGCTCATGGTATGCTGGCTGAGGTTTGTACGGGGGGGGGGGGGGGTAAGCCTAAGAAACCAATTCATCCTCCCCTAAACCCTAAGCCCTAAACCCCGAAATGCACGAGGATCCGCGGGAACTGGGCCGGCGGCTTAACGAAGTAGCGCGGGAAGAGGCACAGCACCTCCAGGAAGCGTGGCAAGGTTAGGGTTTAAGGTTGAGGGCTTATTATAAGGGCTTGGGGTTCAGGGTTAGGGGTTTGGGGCTTGGGGCTTGGGGCTTGGGGTTTAGGGTTTAGGGTGCCCCTAAGACCTGCAGCCTTGTCCACGATGGAGCCAGTAGCGGTGGCGCCAGCAAGTTCTTCGGGAGCCACTGCCGCCGCCTTTTTGGACCAAAGGCATCTGTCGTCCAGGTAAATAGTAGCCCCCACATCAGGCCACTCCTTTTTCACAACTTTTGTCCACACACCCATGATGGTGCACATCAGCATTGGAGAAAGGGGGCATCCCTGCAACAGGCCTGCAGCTGGACAAATAGGCTCATCCTCCCAGTGGCCAGCAAAGGTGACCCAGCGCTTCTGGGCAGCGTAAAAGCCATCTCAAGCTTCAAGTGCTTGTGGGACAGCTTTCCAAGTCGCAAGAGCGTAAAAGCTACGAAGGGTGCCGATCAAACAACCAGGGAGGCCAAAGTGCTGGGCACATCTCGAGGCCGCAGCGGGGAGCACCGAATCGAAGCACCGCTTAACATCGGCCTTGCAGCCCGAAACCTGGCCACCAGCAGCGAGGAGAAAAGCGCTACCTGTGCCATCGAGTATTTGTAAAGAATACCAACAACAACCCTATGCCTCTCGGGGCTGGGCTTGTGACCGTGGTGTGCTTTGGGAGGGAGTCAGGGTTGAGGATTTAGGGTGTAGTTTAGGGTTTAGGGTTTAGGGTTTAGGGCGGTTAGGGTTTAGGGTTTAGGGCTTAGGGTTTAGGGTTTGGGGTTTCAGGGTTAAGGGTTTCGGTTTTAGGGCTTAGGGTTTGAGTTTCGGGCTTAGGAAGGTTTGGGGTTTGTGGCCAGGGCTTGGAGTGCGGTTTATGGCTTAGGTGCTTCGGGTTTGGGGATCTAGTGTGGCCTGATGTTAGTATTAGGTTTGGGGTGGGGTTAGGGTTTAGGGCTTAGCGCTTACGGCTTAGGGGTTTTGAGTTTGGGGTGTGGGTTTAGGGTTTGCGTGTTTAAGAAATCTAGGTCGGGCTGTGGTTATCCCTTGTGAACCCTAAACCCTGTAAACTCTGTACGCCTTGCAACCCTATAAACCCTACAAACCCTATGAACCCTATAATCCCTATGAACCCAAAACACCCCCCAGATAACCCAAGACCCTATAAACCCTCTATCTATATATATATATAAATATATACATACATACATATATATGTGTATATATATATAACTCCACACATATATATATATACATACATACATACATACATACATATATATATATATATATAGACCCTACGAACCCTACACGCCCTCTGAGACCCTACAAACGCATGAAATCGCAAAACTGCACTTGGGGGTTTAGGGTTTAGGGTATAGGGTTTAGGGTTTAGAGATCAAGGCACCTTCGTCCGCCGCAGGGGTGCTTCTGCAGTCCTGCTATTGAAGCTTAGTGGGTCTTGCGGTTTCGGGTTTACGGTTTAGGGTTTCGGGCTTAGGGCTTAGGATAAAAAGGGTTTAGGGTTTAGGATTTGTAGGGTTTGAGTGTAGGGTGGAGGGTTTAGGGTTTAGGATTAGAAGGGTTTAGGGCTTAGGGTGTACCTGAAGAAGTGCACAGATTCCCCCTGAGTGTGGAGGTGCCCATCCATTTCCGGAAGTATGTCGGTACCCTGTACCCTAAACCCTATACACCCTAAACCCTAAACGTTTCGGGGTGTGAGTTTCATGAATGACGCCCGCTCTCGGACTTCACTGGTGTTCCCTTCGCGGGCTGATCGTTCTGAACGGCCCCCTTGAGCTTCCGTGTCTTCTCAATGTCTGTCTGCAAGGACGCCTGCTCCCTAAACCCTAGACCAAACCCTAAACCCTAAACCCCTAGGAGTCTACCTCAGCCAAAGACAGGTCCATCACTACCCGGGAGCTTCTGAGACACTTCGCACCCGACGGTGAGACAACAACGGTTGAAGCTCCGCAATCACCGGGGCGTCTGCAAGGAGCACAAGGCGCGCTCGGCTGTGGGATTAATTAGGGGGGAGGGCTTTGGACTTTGAATTCAGGACTCTGCGTTTAGGCTTTCGGGGTCCATCCCTGCATGCTTAAGGGGTATCAGAAGGCCCCCCAAAAAGGGGCCCTGAATCTTATTCCCCTATATAGCCCCGATATATCCCTTCTACAGGCCCTAGGTACCGAAGCAGCCCCTACATAAACCCGAGATACTAAGGTCCCCTTTCACGGTAACCCTGAACCCTAAACCCTAAACCCTAGACCCCAAACCCTAAACCCTAAACCCTAGACCCTAAACCCTAGACCCTAGACCCTAAACCCTAAACCCAAAACCCTAAACCCTAAACCCTAAAAGTCCCTGAACGAATAGGTTGTACCTTCGGAGGGCAGCGTCAGAGATCCGAGACCCCCAAGCGCCTTTGCGTAATGCCCCCGAGATTGCCGAGCGCAGTGTGGTTGCTTAGGGTTTCGGGTTCAGGGTTTAGGGTTTAGTGTTCAGGTTTTAGGTTTTAGGGTTTAGGGTGGTTTTCGCGAAGTTCCTGCAGAAACAGGCAGCGAGCGGCCTCGAAGAGGCCTAAACCCTAAATAGCACTACGCCCTATGCCCTATGCCCTAAGCCCTAAACCCTAAACCCTAAAAGGATGCTATCCCATATACACCCATATATATATGTGTATGTATACACACTCACCACACAACAACAGGAATAAACCCTAAACTCCAAACCCTTAACCCTAAACCCTAAACCCGAAAACCTAAAACCTAAATAGTACTTGCTGGGTTGGGTTTAGGGTGCAAGGCTTCGGTGGACATCATGGATTGGTGCTATAGGTCTTACGGGCACGAATCATGTACTGGGCTGCACATCTTGCCAGGAAAACCCGTATACAAGCACCCGGATATGTAGAGCGTGACCTAGCTTAAGACCCGAAGAAATAATTACAGGCGAACACCCTGGACCAAAAGCCCTAGGAAATGAAGACCAAGAAGCGCCATAAACCCTAAACCCCAAAACCCCAAACCTATTAGCTCCCAACCCTAAACCCTGCAAAGGATCCCTAAAATAGACCCCCAAATAGTAGGATTCCCATATAACAAGGACCCTAAGAAGTTTCAGGACCTCTCTACAATATCACCCTAAGTGTTAAACATGAATTTGGGAGTTTGATCATTTTTGCCTTTTTGTTACCCCCCCCCATTTTTCAGTTTTGGCCTGTCTGACCCCTTTTGACCCCCCATTGTTCAGCACGAATTAAGGAGTTTGATCCATTTTGGCCCCTCTGGCCCCTCTGACACCCCATTCTTCAGCACGAACTTTCTATGTTCTTAATGTCATGAAATGATTTGGGCGGGTGGGTTTTTCTTCCGTTGCCTACACGCACTGCTGGCCAGGCCATTGCTCGAGCTTGAGATGCTGAACCCTAAGCGCTAAACCCGAATAAGGTACTCCTAATATCGTACTTTGGGAAACCCTCCCAAATCGGTCCTGACGCATGTGCCGAAGGACAGGCTGTCGACGACCAGCCCTGGCTTGGCTGTAGGGTTTAGGGTTTAGGGTTAGGGTTTAGGGCTTCGGGGAGAAAATTTCATTCGGACTTTGGGGCTTCGGATGTAGGATCTGCGGGTTTACGATCATAAGACTCCCATGCATTAGGATCCGGAATCCCCTTATAACAGAACCCTAATATGGTACCCCTGTTATCGTAAACTCCCATCCCCGAACCTTAGACCCTAAACTCTCAGCCCTAAACCCTGAAGGCCACTGGAGGCCCCAAAAAGTTAGGGTTTAGGGTTTAGGGTTTAGGGTTTAGGGTTTAGGGTTTAGGGTTTAGGGTTTAGGGCTTGGGGTACGCGAGCGGCACCGCGAATGAGCACTGAGGAACATTCTTCTGCGCGTTTCGAGTCCGGGGTCTACAGGGTTTAGGGTCTTCGGGTCCATACCTTAGTAACTTTATTCACCCAAAATAAACCCAAAAACACAAAGAATGCCCTGTTGGGCTTAAAAGGGCGTACAAGGAGCCTAAGCCCCCAAAAAGGGAATAGGGGCCTGTCTGACGCTAGCTAGGATGGCCCTTAAACCCCTCTGAAAAATACTCCTGGATATGATCCTCTTGAACCCAACAAAGGAAAATGTAAAGCCCCTACCTGTAGTCCTAAACCCTAAACCCTAAGCCCAAAGCCCTAAGCCCTAAGTCCTAAGCCCTAAACCCTACACTACCGAGATAAGCATTTACAGGGTGGGGCCCCCTAGTTATAAGTAGAGTCATAAGGGCCCTAAATTGGGTTATAAGGACCCTAAGTTAGGTTATAAGTCCCTTAACTACAGTTAGTATAGTAAGGGGGCCCCACCCTGTAGGGCTTGGGGTCAAGGGTTGGCATGTGGATGAAACAAAGGGAGGTGAGCTGCCAGCAGCCCACAAACCCTTTACCTTTTAGGGGTTTAGGGTTGAGGGTTTTCGGGTTCTGGGGTACTACCCCCCTCGCGTCGATTCAAGAGATTCGGTGCCAAGTTCTACCCTTAAGGCCCTAAACCCGCATAAACCCTAAACCCTGAACCCTAAACCCTAAACCCTAAACCCTAAACCCCAGTTACATCGTCTGTGTGTGCCCAGGGTGCAGCATCGCGACCTACTCTGTGGGCCGGTCTCGGGGCCCGCCCTCCATACGTGTCAAACCGCGACCGCATCAGGGATGAGCGTGGCACCTTCACTGGGTTTTTAGGGTTTCGTGCTTATAGGGTTTAGGGTTTAGGGTTTTGGGGTTTGGGGTTTGGGGTTCAGGGAAGCCGGCAAACACCGTAAGCCCTGTAAAGGCCGTCATGAATCGCATGTTCTCTGAAGATTTAAACTCCTAAACCCTGAACCCTGACCCTAAAACATGAACCATAAGATCAGTATCAACGCAGCCTTGATGCTGTTGACTAGCCTCCCATGATGTTCAGTATGAAGATCGCTACAAGCACAGCTGGTTGGGATGCCACGTATGACCTCCGTCAGGGTTCAGGGTGCTAAGAATTTCGGGATGGCCATGGAAACCCCCTGCAATTCCTGAATACCCCTTGGTTTAGGGTTTAGGGTTGGGGCTTAGGGTTTAGGGCTGAATATGATCCTCCTGATCCTAAACCCTAAACCCTAAACCCCAAACCCTAAACCCTAAACCCTAAACCCAATGAGGGACAATCTGAAATTTCTAGAATCTAAGACCGATGGCTGACGGATTTAAGACCTCCGACCTCTGAACTCTTCGTGGAAACCCCCAAAAAAGCGAACAAAAGGTCCTGACAGGGTTTAGGGTTTAGGGTTTAGGGTTTAGGGTACCTAAACGTCCTATTTGCAAGGCATTGCAACAAAAGCCGATAAAAGTGACAGGCTCTGGGCTCGTGTATGGTACGTCTTGAACCTATGCTCTACGGTGTTGCAGCGCCTCCGGCTCGGGACGTAGGCTTTGGGGCGTTTTAGGGTTTAGGGTTTAGGGTTTAGGGTTTAGGGTTTAGGGTTTAGGGTTGGTCCGAGGGCTCTGCAGCTGAGGGGGCCCCTTCCCTGCTTGCCTACATGCTTGAACCAAGAAGGTAAAACCATGCACCCCCAAGACCCTAAACCCTAAGCCCCAAAACAAAAGCATGTGGTAGGCGCCCTAGACGAGGATCCCTTTTTATGTACCTATGCCCGAACCGGCAATCCAACAAGGGACCCTGTAAGACCCTATAAACCCCATTAAAGCCGTATGTGAACCTTATTCAAAGCCCTATGTGACTTCTATTGAGAGCCGATTTAAAGCCTTCGTGGTCATTTACGATTTTTGGGGGGTACCTTTTGGGGTACTTATGACAAGGGGGTCCCACAATTTGGGGGTCTATAGTAGGGTTCCTTATTATCGTAAACCCTAAGCCCTAAACCCTAAGCCCTAAACCCTAGACATAACCCTAAAGCATTAACCTAAATGGAACCTCCCTCCCTGGTTTAGGGTTTAGGGTTTAGGGCTCCCTCCCTTAAGAACAAGATTCTAAACCTGAATCCCCAGACGCTAAACAAAGGCCCTAAACGCCCAACGCTTCGGGTCAAGGGTTGAGGGTAATGTCTGAAGAACATAGCTTACATTGGAGGGTGAGGGAGGGTGAGGTTTGAAGATTTGTTTAGGGTTTAGGGTTTAGGGTTTCGGGTTTCGGGTTTAGGGCTGAGGGCTTAGGGTTTAGGGGCTTAAGGGCCGAAGCTACTGTACGCGGAATGGTGACTAGCAGGGACCCTGAAGCCCTAAACCCCTCCGGAGCATGGCTACAGGGCTTCGTGGGTTTAAACGGTTTAGGGTTTAGGGTTTAGGGTTTAGGGTTTAGGGTTTAGGGCCTAGGGAATCTTAGGGAAGCTCTTCGGGAGTACTGGGGAGTGTTTAGGGAACCTTGGGTTACATACCCGCCTTGATCCCTCCTCCCTCAAGAATCCTATAAGTTTAGGGTTTGCTAGTTCATGGTTGGGATGGTACTAAAAAATTAAATTTCAATTCCTTATTGTAACCCAAGTATGGTCATGTTAGGGCACTTAAGGGGCTTAAAACTGCGGGAACGAGCCTACCGCTACTTGTGAATTGAGTTTAAGTACCCTCAAAAGTGTATAATGTTACCCCACTATGAGAAAGTTAAGGGTTGGGATGTTCCCCCTATTACTATCAGTCCTAAATGGGGATGATAATACCCCCCCCTACGACAGTCCCTGTTAAGGACTGTTAGTATAAGGGGGAACATCCCTAAACCCTAAACCCTAATCCCAAGTTTGGGTCCAAGATAAAGGCCCGCCTCAGAAACCAAATCGAAGCGCACAAGCCCCTAGCAAAATCCTCTCCCCCCCCCCCCCCCCCCCCAAACCCCAAACCCTAAACCCTAAACCCAAATCCCACAACCCTCATCCCCAAACCCTAAACCCCGACATACGATCGAGTCGAGATCCTAAACCCTGACGCCAATGACGCCAAACGGCCCCGAAACAACGCCGAGAATGAACCGACCACCGAAGACTCTGGACCCAAAACCCCAAAGCACGAAAATCCCTAAACCCTAAATCCCGAAAACCCCTAAACCCTAAACCCTAAATCCCCAAATGCCTAAACCCCGAAAACCCCTAAACCCTAAACCCTGAACCCTAAACCCTAAACCCTAAACCCTAGACCCTAAACCCTAAACCCTAAACCCTAAACCCTACACCCTACCAAAAAGAAACGCCCGAACAACCCTCATAGGATGCCAACCGGGACCTCTGAGGACGGGAATGCGGTGGTGGTCGCGCAGGGCCGGACTTCCCTTGTGGGAGAGCTCGTTTAGGGTTTAGGGTTTAGGGTTTAGGGTTTAGGGTTTAGGGTTCAGGGTTTAGGGTTTAGGGGTTTAGGGTTTAGGGGTTAGGGTTTAGGGTTTAGGGTGTAGGGTTTAGGGTTTCAGACTTAGGCGTTCGCTTTGCAAGCTTGTCAAACGCACGTATCATGTCTGAGCAGGCTGCTAAACGCTGACCCTAAACTCTAAACCCCAAACCCGAAACCCTAAACCCTAAACCCCAAACCCTAGACCCCCAAAAGCACCAACTTCTGAGGCCCCCGCAAAGACAAATCAATTCTCCCCCACAGGCGTGTTAGGCCAGCAAGGATATGACAATGAGGGCACCCTTTTTCGGGGTTTAGGGCTTAGGGTTTAGGGTTCTCTTTTCACGCTAAACCCTAAACCCTAAACCCCAAACCCTAAACCCAAAACCCAAAAAAGGTGTAAAGGGTAAGCAAGCAAAACAAATAAGCAAGCAAGTGTTGAAACAACAAAAGAAAAGGGCGGAGTGCAAGCCCTACGAATCAAACAACCTATACATTCACCTTAGAACTACCCCCCCCAAGAAAAACATAATATAATATATATATATATATATATATATATATCGTAATGATGATAATAATCAAAATAATAATCATCATAATAACAATAATAATAACAGAAACCATACTTGGTAGCCGAGTAGCCATATTAAAGCAAGGGCACCCTTCTTGGGCTGGTTACTTGATAAGGGAACCTTGAACAAACAAAAGCGAGAAGAGGGCACTGCTGGGCTAGCACGCCTATAAAAAGACCCCAAACCCTAAACCCTAAACCCTCAACCCTAAACCCCAAACCCTCAACCCTAAACCCCAAACCCGAAACACTAAACCCGAAACCCTAAACCCGAAACCCTAAACCCTAAAGCCCTAAAGCCCTACGATCCCTTCTCGAAAAAAGGAGCCTCGGAGGTCGCGCTCGCGAGAAGCTCATCAAGTGGGATGGCCGGATTCCTCGGATGCGGCACACGGTTTAGGTTTTAGGGTTCAGGGTTCAGGGTTCAGGGTTCAGGGTTCAGGGTTTAGGGTTTAGGTTTAGGGTTTAGGGTTTAGGGTTTAGGGTTTAGGGTTTAGGGTTTAGGGTTTAGGGTTTAGGGTTTAGGGTTTAGGGTTTAGGGCTTAGGGTTTAGGGTGTAGGGCTTTGGGTTTAGGGTTTAGGGTTTAGGGGCTTTAAGGGCGTACCTAAAGGCTCCTATGCAGTGCCTTTTTGACGGTAGTATACTAGAATCCCTATGATTCCCTAGACCCTAAACCCTAAACCCTAAACAGCATACCCTATACCCTAAACCCTAAGCCCTAGAATCCCTATGATTCCCCACAAAAGGAACTACGTTGGAGCCTTCAGGTTCCGGAGAGGTTTAGGGCTTAGGGTTTAGGGTTTAGGGTTTAGGGTTTAGGGTTTAGGGTTTAGGGGTTCGGCGGTCTGTAGACGTTGGGCAACATCATTAGGGTTTAGGGGGTTTAGGGTTTAGGGTTTAGGGTTTAGGGTTTAGGGTTTAGGGACTTCTTTGAGAGCAAAGGCTTTCAGGGGGCTGTTCAGCTCACAGGAATCATCCTCTATGCATCCTCTAAGCTATTCAGAAGGCCTTAGGGGAAGCTTACGGGGGTCATGGGGTTTGCCTTCAGGAGTTTAGGGCTTACAGTTCCTGCAGTTCTCTCAATGATGCTCACTTTTCCGTACCCTAAGGTCCGTTTTTTGGGGTTTAGGGTTTAGGGTATCCTAGCCGTAAACCCGGCAACGTATTCCCTAAACCTTGAAAGGCTTATGGGAGGAAAAATGGTGACCGCAACCGAATGTAGCGAATGTAGAATGGTGACTGGTCCGATAGTTGGGGGTTCCATGTTTGAAGGTCAGCCAAACCGTCCGCTTTCCCTACTCCCCAGACCTTGTTCTTGGCTTTGGGGATACGGCTGATGTGGATTTCTGGACTCAGAGGTGAATTAGGCGGGGAACTTGAGTTTTTAGGGTGTGCTTTCTACTTCAGGAATGTTTGGGTGAGGGCTACAAGGGGTAGGGTTTCGAGTTTGGGGTGCAGGGTTCCAGATAAGCAGCGCCTGGCATTTTCAGGCAAAGGCAAACCTCCTGGGCACTCGGGCATCACCAGGGCTGCGCGCGGGTATGCTGCACCCAGTCGACAGACTACTTCCCTGACGCTTTCAGCGTGGGAAAACCACATAATAACGAGTGGTTTGGCTATTGGCCTTCGAGATACAGTGCCAGCATTTTTTTATCCTTCTTGCACCGGTATACTCCGTGACTGTCTACCGCCCCCTCCCCTCCCCCCCCACGTACGAGTAACCCTCGTAAAACCTGGCCAAGAGGAGAGATCAAATGTGCGCCACCGGAGGGCTGAGACTTGACTTCGATACGAGCACAAGTTCATCGCATACGCTGGGGGCAGAGGATTTTTATGACCCGCCTCTAACCCAGGGTTTAGGCGTATGGGCTGACTGTTAGGGTGTAGGGCTGCTATGCTTTGGGGTCTCTAAACTCTAAAGCCTGAACCCTAAACCCTTCACCCTTCACCCTCAGGCTAACAATAATATTGCACTCTTCGCCCTTCTTGGCACCTATCAGGAGCCATGCACCTGCATGGCCCGGTGGTGCCTTGTTTAGTTTTGCAATGGTTTAGGGTTTGGGTTTTTGGGGTTTCGGGTTTGGGATTAGGTTTAGGGTTTAGGGTTTCGGGTTTAGGTTTCAGGGTGTGGGGGTTGAGGGCTCAGGGCAGGGTTTGGGGTTGAGGGTTCAGGGTTGAGGGTTGTCATTAGTGGTGGTTCGCCTGCAACCAAGAAGAAAACAGGGCACCTTTGGTGCTTACTTAGGCTTCTGCGTGATCCTACTCCAAGGCGGCGAGGGGGGGGGGGGGGGGGGGGGGAAGGAAAGGAGAGGTTCCTGAAAGCCCAAACCTTGAGCCCCGCTAGTGTGGCTTAAGGGTTCCAGCACATAGCCAAACCACTTGGACAGTTCTGAAATCAAGGTCCCTTTTGAGCAGGCTGGTTTTGGACACATGTCGACATCCTAAGCGCTAGACAGCCCTAAACCCTAGAAGACACAGAAACCCGAGAATCCCTAGAAATGCACAACCCTGAGCCCTAGCAACCAAAAACCCTCGAAACCCTTATCACCTAGACCCAGGAATAACCTCGGAATAAAAAGGCTACTCTTTCTGGTTTAATGGAGACTATTAGGGAACCTAAACCCTAAAGAAAAGGAACAAGGGCCTACTCCGGGTCCTAGTAGCCCTAAACCCTAAACCCGAAACCCTAAACAAAGGGAATAAGGGCCTTCTCCGGTCCCAGTCACTCTACAAACCCCAAAAGGGCCAACATTTTCAGAACCGAACTGGCGGGCCCTTCCAAGACACGGGCCACCTTGGGTGGCAAAAGAGGGTTTAGGGTTTAGGGTTTAGGGTTTAGGGTTTAGGGTTTAGGGTTTAGGGACGTGGGTGCTGCCACAGGAAAATGCAGCACCCACTTGGCGGCGCAGGGGAGCCGAACTCTTGATGTGTCGGTTTAAGCCCTAAACCCTAAACCCTAAACCCTAAACCATACAAGCCCTGTTGAGGGCTTGGGATCTGAAGAAAAGCCTTGGTCGATATAGGGGTCTAGCTGGAGTTTGGGGTTTGGGGGCTTGGGGGTTTAGGGTTTAGGGTTTAGAGTTTAAGGTTTAGGGTTTGGGGTTTAGGGTTTAGGGCTTGGGGTTTGGGGTTTAGGGCTTAGGGTTTAGGGTTTAGGGCGAGGAGGGAAGAAGCTTGAGAGGTCTGGGCCTTTCGGCTTCGATGTGGAGTTCTAGGATCCGGGTTTAGGATTTAGGGTTTAGCGCTAGGGTTTAGTGCTTTGGGTTTAGGGTCTAGGGCCTGGGGGCTTTTGGGATGCTTCTGCTCCCCTGAGTCCAGTTCCAGGGTTTCGGGTGTTGGGGCGAAGCAAGGAAAGCAGCACCACGTAAACCCTAAACCCTAAACCCTAAACCCTAAACCCTAGACCCTAAACCCTAAACCCTAAACCCTGAACCCTAAACCCTAAACCCTAAACCCTAAACCCTCAACCCTAAACCCTAAACCCAACCTGAAACCCCAAACCGGAATGTCCCGCAACCCTAAAGTTCCTTAAGTCCGTAAGCCCTAAACCCTATGCCCTATAGGCCCTAAACCCATAAAACCCCTAAAAACCCTAAACTCCTAAACCCTTAAAACCCTAAACCCTAAACCTTAAACCCGCCCCACCGTTGGGTGTGTTTTGGGATGAGTTCGGAGTCCTTTCGGCGATTCGGGGGTTTTCGGCGCTTCCCTGCTCCGCCCCGGCCTAGCTAACATTGAGGCTGTCTCCCGCAGATCGCCCGTTGCCATGCAATTAATAGGCCTTAAGCATTAGAATAGGGTTTAGGGTTTAGGGATAATAGGGTTCATAGGGTTAATAGGGTTAAAAGGGTGAAAAGGGTTAATAGGATTAACAGGGTTAATAAGGTTAAAGGCTGAGGTTTTTGGGATATGATGCCTTCTCTACATGATGGTCCCTTTTGTATTAGAATAAGGCGGCCCCTGATATTTAGGGTGCGTGTAGGGTTTGGGGGGGTGGGGTTTGGAATTTGAATTTAGAGCTTAGGGTTTGGTGGGGCGGGGTTTGGAATTTGAATCTAGAGCTTCATTTTTGAGGTAGGAGACCCGAAAGCTGAAGCCCTAGCCCCCGAAAGCAAGGAGCAGAGGGGCACAAAGGGGGCGGCGGGAGGGGGCCCTTTTGCTGGCATCGGTTCCAACCACTTTGCCACAAACTGTTGCTCTTACCTTGATGGAACTTTAAATAAACCCTAAACCCTAAACCCTAAACCCCCCTAAACCCTAAACCCTAAACCCTAAACCCTAAATCTTCAGTTCTTACATGGCTGACAGGGTTTTTGTCCAGGGTTGCGCGCTTAGTGGCTCAAAGACATTTTGGCTTGAGCAGCTACACTGCCATCTGCTAGCACAAGACCAATCCTCTACTCCAAGCCCTCGGGTGTGTAGGGTTTGGGAACTTGAAACCCTAAACCCTAAACCGTAAACCCTAAACCGTAAACCCTAACCCTAAACCCTAAGCTTAGGATTTCAGATCAACCCCAAGCAGGGCAACGGACATCGCTGCGAGGCTTGAACCTCTTTTCCGGGGTCGGCGGCACCGGCGGTAGCCATTAAATCGGGCGGCGCCCCTGGGCGCCAGTCTTTCACAGGTCGTCAGCTCCTGGATTTTTTGTTTGTTAGGATTGAGGGTTTAGGGTTTGGGGCTAGGATTTAGAGTTTAAGGCTTAGGAAACCCGAGTTCTCTGTACTTAAACCCCCATAAAGCCCTGAACCATGACCCTCCATACTGCCTCAAAGGCACATGTAAAGCTTCCGGGGCATGTTCAAAGCCTACTCAAGCCCCACATATGGGGGGCCACAAGAGCACTTGGGATGTTCACCGTTATACTAACACTCCTTAATAAGGATGACAGTACACCCTCTAGGCTGCCCAGTAACCAAGGCTTAAAAAGGGCGCCCTTTTTTGCTTAAAGGGGTTTAGAATAAGGGAGCCTAAACCCCCCAAAAAAGGGAATAAGGGTACTACTGGGCATCCTAGCCCTATTAGAATTCCGATTAAGGACTGTTATAGTACAAGTATGGGGCTAAGATTAGGGGGCCCCTTGGGGATATAGACCCTCTGGATAAGGTCCCTGTTTAAGAGAGCCAGAAGAGGGTTAAGAAGGGGTTCCCTTTTAAGGGTCCCCCTTCTCCTACCTCGGAACAAGGGGGGAACATCCCAAGATACTGCGTTGAATCCTGACAACCGTGCGCCGTTCCAGCACAGCAGCTCGAGGAAGGGATGGGATCCCGGAACAACACTCCTAAAATGGTCCCTGTGGGGGTTTAGGGTTTAGGGTTTAGGGTTTAGGGTTTAGGGTTTAGGGTTCAGGGTTTAGGGTGTAGGGTCGGGGCTTAGGG